AACAAAAGTAGGTTTGTTTCCATCTTGGTTAGGTTCTGAATGAACTTTAAACAATGTTTCATTTCTATATGTTTTCTTGAAATTTAACCTTTTATTTTCACCGAGTTCATCCAAAGATTGAACGTTAAATGCTCGTAAGTAAAAAGGGTTGTTGTATTTGTGTACATTTTTTTCAGTTCTTCCATTCTATGCTGGATATTTTCATCTGATGTTGGAGTCTTTTGTATGTCGGCAAACATTTTTCGATATTCTTCTACTATGTCAGCCGAATTTTTTTTAGACTCTTGGAAATATTCCATATTCTCCGCATACTCTTGTTGAGGGTCAAGATTTTTCGGCTGTTCCAAATCTTCATCTAGTTCTGTGAAGTTAGTTTCCAAAGGAAGGACTTGTTCGTTTCCTTCAGGCTCTTCTAGCTGTTGTTGCTAACTATTTCTTCCATGTCTGGTTGTATCTGAACTTCTTCCTGTGGAGTTTCTTGTACCTCATCTGCTGGCATTTCATATATTCCGAGACCGTTTTCAACAATTTCCCTATCTACGTCATCCGCATTCATAAGCTTTTGTTCTTTCGTTCCGTCTCTATTTTTTACGCGTTTCATGACGAAAGTTGAATTGTCATTTAGCTCTGACATCAAATATCTCGGAGTAAATTCATCCATGTCATTTGGATGATATGCTATTAAATCATATCCCTTAGCGAGCTTGTATTTTCCAGGTTTGAGATTATATCCGTTTTGGTGCTGAGCCATAAAGCTAAATAGGTTCGGGTCAGTATTTCCATCCTTGAACTTTCCAATAGCTTCTTTATATCTGTCACTAAAGTCAACAGTATCTGGGAAACCACACTCTTCTTTAAGCATTTTTAAGAATTCTTGGTTTCCTTGTTCTCTACTTCTTTTATGTCCTTGCTCTGTTTGTGGTTGTTGTTGTGCAGGGTTTTGAACTGTTGGTTGCTGTGCTGGTTGTTGTGTTGGTTGTTGTGCTGGTTGTGGAGGTGGTTGTTGTGCTGGTTGTTGTGCATGCCTGTGTCTGTGTCCATGTGACGATGTAAATGTTCTAGGTAGTCCTGGTGCAGGTGCTTCTCTTGGAGGGTTTGGTGGTATATAAGTTCCACCAGCTGGCACATATGTTCCATCTGCAGCGTAATGTCCTACCTGACTTTTCGTTTTTAAGAAAGCATTTACTAGGTCTGTTTTGGTCTGTTGTAACTCTTTTTCTTGACTTTCCACAACAGTTGCTCTAACGGAGTCATAGGCACTTTGAACTGCCTGTCTCGTTGCTGCATCTGTTATTTTCGTCATATTTTGTGCTACTTCTCTTAACTCGTTGTCGAAACCTTCAGACTTCAGTTTCTTTCCAGATGAGAAGTCGTTCACTAGTTTCACCTTACTATGAAGAGCTTCGAAGGCGTTCTTAAAGTCAGCCTTCATTAAAGCTTCATTTGAACTGTCTTCATCCGCTTGTATTTTTGTCCTTATTGACCCTATAAGTTGGGCTGCTTTGGCGTTGGCTTGGGCATCTAACCAGTCATTATTAGCTTTTATATATTCTGCGCTTTTCATTGCCTTTTGCATGGCTGCGTCGTTATTTTTACTTTCTTGTGCTAAGTTTTCATACTGTACGGTTTGGTTTTGCAACTGTAAAAGTTTTTCTGCCTTTACATTTGCTTCAACTTCTTTTTTATACTCATCGCTATCCATATATGTCTTCAGGGCTTTTTGTTTTATTTCTTCATCTTTCAGTACTTTATATTGAGTAGTATGGTTTTTCAAATTTATAACATCTTGTTCCATTTTTGCTACTTCTGCTGCTTTTTCTGACACTTTTTTCGCATATTCCTCTGTACTTAGTTCTTTCAGTTGTTCTTTTTCTTCTTTTTCTCTACGTTTAACTCATTGAGTTTCTTTGTGTGTCTGTCATATTCTAGTTTCTTTTCGTTTTCACTTATTTGTTTCTGTATGTCTATGTTTGACTTTTTGACATCTGTTATTTGATTTTTGAGTGAACTCAAATTCATTTGACTTTGAGGGTTATAGGCTGTTCCGTCTGCAGCTCCACCATAGCCTGCCATTTTCGCTAAAAGTGCCGCTCTTAAACCTCCACTCTGTGCACCAACAACTCGGTTTAAAAGCATAGGATTGCTTGACATTTGTTGCAACATAGTGGGGTCATTCAGCATTTGTTGTTGCAACTGTTGTTGTGGTGTCAGTTTTACTTTTGGATGTTTCAATGCTCCCTTCCTCTTACGTATATTCTTACGTAGCTTACGTGGCATTTTAAGTGAAGTTAAAAAGCGGTTTTTGACAGATGTTTATTGTGACTTCTTCGTAAAGACTTTGTTATGACTTCTTCGTAAAGACTTTGTTGAGATTTCTTCGTAAATGAGTGTAAATGACCCAAAAATATATTTTAGGTGAAGAGGTGAGATGTCACCTGTTTTCTCACCTCATTTCTCACCTCTTGAATTTTCATGAATTTCTTCGTAAAGACTTTGTTAAGACTTCTTCATCTAATTTCTCATGAACTTTCTTGTCTATGTTTTGTCAAGATTTCATCGTAAAGACTTTGTTGAGATTTCTTCGTAAATGACCCTAGTAGTATATTTTTGGTGTAAAATTCATGAAAATTCAACGGGTGAAAAATTAGGTGAGAAAACAGGTGACATCTCACCTCTTCACCTAAACATTATTTTTGGTGTAAATTTCATGAAAATTCAACGGGTGAAAAATTAGGTGAGAAAACAGGTGACATCTCACCTCTTCACCTAAACATTATTTTTGGTGTAAATTTCATGAAAATTCAACGGGTGAGAAATGAGGTGAGAAAACAGGTGACATCTCACCTCTTCACCTAAACATTATTTTTGGTCATTTACACTCATTACGAAGAAGTCTTGACAAAACATTTACGAAGAAGTCTTGACAAAACATTTACGAAGAAGTCTTGACAAAACATTTACGAAGAAGTCTTGACAAAACATTTACGAAGAAGTCTTGACAAAACATTTACGAAGAAGTCTTGACAAAACATTTACGAAGAAGTCTTGACAAAACATTTACGAAGAAGTCTTGACAAAACATTTACGAAGAAGTCTTGACAAAACATTTACGAAGAAGTCTTGACAAAACATTTACGAAGAAGTCTTGACAAAACATGAAAACATATATAATTTGTGAAAAGCTCCTGGAAGACCCGTATATATAAGACCTTCATTTATACTAAACATCTTCGGGGGCTAGAAGGCACGAAGTGCCTGGAAGCCATCCCCCAAGAAAAAAAAAACTTCATTATACTCATTCATCCTCAGGGCTAGAAGGCACGAAGTGCCTGGAAGCCCCACTCCCTTTTTTTTTTTTTTTTTTTTTTTTTTTTAATTATTTCACAAATTCATGAAATTCATTAAAAAAAAATCAACAAAGATTTACGCGTGAGCTCAACCACAAAATAATTATGTAGAATGTTTTTTTGTTACCTATGTATGATGATTAAATCTAAAAAATGTATATAACTCAGAGCCTTTTTCGGGAACAGGACAAATTTGCCACACGGCACTTTTTTTAAAAAAAATTAATGGAGCGGAGCGATACTCTGCTGCAGGAGCCCCAAGGCTCCCAATCATTACGAAAGGGAGCCTCAGGGCTCCTGAGAATCCATCAGCAGAGGCCTTTTCATTTGGCCTCTGCTGATCAAAGATTCGGCGAAGCCATTCTTCGTCTCAGGAGCCCCAAGGCTCCCAATCATTACGAAAGGGAGCCTCAGGGCTCCTGAGAATCCATCAGCAGAGGCCTTTTCATTTGGCCTCTGCTGATCAAAGATTCGGCGAAGCCATTCTTCGTCTCAGGAGCCCCAAGGCTCCCAATCATTACGAAAGGGAGCCTCAGGGCTCCTGAGAAACCTCTTTGAGAAGGTTTTCTTTAAGAAAACCTTCTCAAAGATGATTGTCAGCATTCACTCAAAATCTACCAAGAGTTTCAAAGTTTCAAATCTATCTGAAATGAAGCTTTGAATCTCTTGTATATCTAATTGTAGAGGTACCTTTTCAAAATGTCTTCTATTGATTAAATTTAATCAGTAAAAGTCATTTTGAAAAGGTACATCTTTATAATTGCTATTGAGCATTCACTCTTGGAACCTTGGAGCTCTTGTGTAGTGCATGAAAACTCCAAGATTCTAGCATAAAACATATATCATAGACATAATTTCTTCAAATATAATTTAAGGTTATTTTTTAAAAAAATAGAAAACTTAATTTAAGGTTATTGAAAAGTGACACTTGGCAAATTTGTCCCGCACTCGCCTTTTTCAAATTTAAAACGGTGTTATCAGCGTCAATCAGATGTTAAAAACAGGTTCTCATTGCAATAATGTTTTGATTTCAGAAGACTTTGATACATATATTCATATATTCCATATAGAATGCTGGCCGCAAATTACCATATGTTGAACAATTTGCATCTACATGTGCTATTAATTGATGGGAATGTCACTCAATTGCTAACGGCGACAGATAGAAATATATTGTCGAATAACCTATAGCATCGTCTAAAAATGCATAATAGATTCATTTCTCCACATAGTGTATTGGCATTTCATGTTTCTTTTTAATCAATACTTATCATATCGTTCGGTCACAGATGAAAAAGGATGGGGATATGATCATATTACTGATCTATCACTGATATCCTATGTTGGATTGTTGCATTGGATATCTATTGATTCTTTTATGTTGCCTTCTCGTCTGGCAAAATATTTTTGCCATAACCAGCATCAAATTGTGTGGTTTCACATTCATTGATTTTAAAATCCTTGGTGAAACATTCTTGCATCGATTTCTTTGAAATTTGCCATATGATATTTTGTTCAAATTTTTTCTTGCTGATCAAAATTTAATTTTGACCAAAAAATTTACTTGACATACTTCATCTTTTCTATATTTTATTTTCTTGACATTATTTTTATCCAAAATGTATAATTGTAAAATTGTCACTTTTTAATTATATGTCCAATTTTGTCACAATTATTCTTAAAGAATCCAAAAAGCGTGAACAGAAGAAGGCAATGCTTCCTCCTTCCATAAACCAACTTAAAAACCAAGCAACAAAGTTATTCAAAATTCAGCCGCCAAATAAAATTCAATCAATTTACACGACTGATGGAGTATTAATCACTTCGATTTCTGAGTTATCGCATGGTATGGAAATTCTTGTTTCAACGCAACTACCCGATGAAGACTTTTCTGAAGGTGAAAATCAAGTTGAAGAAGCACCAAAATCGAGCCCACGCTCATCGCAGATACCAACTAAGCCAAAGACTCCTATTTCACCAAAACAAACGCCGCCACCTAACTCAATGAATTCTCCAAAATTTGTACAGCCACCACCAGTCAATGTTAGTCCAATGTTTGGCAGCAAATCACCTAAGATGAGTGTTCAGTCTTCTGGCCGCCAGACTCCAGTTCTTGGACAGATTAATGAACCTTCAGCTTCAACGCCAGCCGTAAAGCAGCCAACATCGGGAACTCCAGGTCGCTCTCCATCTCCGATGGCTCAAAACCAGCCTCCTTCTCCAAGAAGCGAAGAAGAAGGACAAATGGTCAGAAATACTTCACAACTCGCGATTATACAGCAATCTACACCAGAGTTAGAAGCTAAAGAGAGCTCTGCCCGCCGCTCTAACTCTCCTAATGCTCCAAAGCGAAATACAGTTACAAGAGATGGCGTTGAAGAACAAATTGCCGAAATTCTCTCTCCAGATGAGAAAGAACGCAGAGCGATGCTTTCCTGTGGTGTCGATCGTGATCTTATCATCTCCAGCCTCTCAGAGAACCTTTCAGGCCTCTTCTCCGACATAATGCCATCGAATGCTGCCGCTACCGGTTCCTCATCGCAAAAGGGAAGTTCACGTTTGGGACAATCTGCGAAAGACGATGAAGAGCAGCCAGAAGTCACAAACGAGACACTTAAGACTGCTATTAGGCAAGTACCGCAAGTCATGCAGCGCTTCATGACTCAGAACGGGAACAGCGAAATCACACAACAAGCGATTGTCCAGAAGAGACTCTTAAATCACTTCGGCGAGATCCCACGCATATCCAACGCCTTAGAACAACATATTAACGACCAAATAAAGAACGGAACGTTCTCAACTCTCGGTGGATTTAATGTCAACTTCAAGACATTGATTGTCGGACCTAGATCGTCAGGCAAAACAACATACCTCAAGAACCTCGCTAAAAATGTTTACAGAAGATTGATCGCAAGCGGACAATATCGTCATACATTCGTATTTAATGTCGACTTTCTACAGATAAAGGAGTCGTTTGACGACCCAATTAAATTCTACAACGCATTTATGGGCCTTGCATTGGCTCAGGCTGCAAGCCAGAGGATAGATTTCCAGCCATATCTCGATATGATTACACAATACTTCGAAAAGATCGTCCAAGTCGATACATTCATTAATCTTCCTACGAAATTCTCATTACAAGACGATTTCAGAGCTACATCAGCTGTTTTAACTGAATTAGCCTCGAATATCTTCAACGCGTACAAGAAATCAGGTTCTCTCTCCATATTTATGACCCACGTTGTTACGATCCCAGATTTCATTGCCAAAGCGTTCGGATACAGCAGAGTTCTTGTAATTGCAGATCACATCGACGTTGCCGACGTTCTTGTCCCGTGCAACGACCAATTAACGCGGGATACGCAGAATCTCCCTATTATAGAGTTCGTTAAGCTCCTCCTTGAAGACAACGCCTTCATCGCCGGATGCCAAGACGAAAGACATGCAATCGAAGCGATAGACCTCATCGCAGATGATTCAACAGATATTCTTACAGGTACAGACATAGTTTCCGTCATCAATTCGGACCTTGACGAAACTCATTCTTCAGAAATTTGGTTCAAACTCCAAGTGGCCGGCCAAACACCGAATGTCCTTCTTCGTTGTGAGGACTGCGGTGGATGCCCAGGATTCCTCGCCCGCTGGGATGTCATTATTTCGATGGCTCAGCAGTATATCATAGAGGAACACAAGGATAAGAACTCAAAGAAGCTCAGAGAGCGAAAATTGGCCCTCATTACAAAGATAAGAGAGCTTGCAGCCCTTGTTTTCGCCGAGGAAGGTGATTTTGGTACAATCAACCCTTACCCAGGCAAAATCAACGATTTCGAAATTGTCCAGAATGTCAGGAATGAGTAAAATTATATTTAATAAACCATTTTTCATCTTTTCTTTTATTTTAATCAAAATAATAACAATTTTAAATATTGATGGCTCTATGTGCATAAATTTTATGCATTTAAATAGGTTTTCAGTTATAAATCATTTTGAAGATATCATAAAGATTGATATTTGAACATCTTTCTGGTTCTGGAATAATATATCGTGTTTCTCTTTTTGTCTATATAAGTTGAATAAAGTTCTGTTATCTATTGTGCGAAGATATGAACTTGATACAACCCTTTGGTTCAAAAAATCAAAACTGATATTAGATAATTTCATGCATCATGTATCTATACTTACTCATCTAACAAACATGCAACATTTAGCGAAATAAAAAATGTTGATTAGTATTAATGAGTTTGAGAAAAAGATTTATGATAAAATAATTCAAATTAAGGTTGAGTTGAATTTCATTGAGTGAAAAATGTTATGTACTTAAAATAAAATTGTTTTATAGATTTAGATTTTTCGATTTTCTTCCAAATTTTTTTCATTTTTCAAAAAATGATTTTAATTTCCTTTATTTTACTATAATAAACGTTTAAAAATTATTTTTATGAGAATTCGTGTGAATCAAATTAGCCAAGAGAAGCTTGATAATCGAGTAAAAGTCATGTTGGAAGATGCACATGTGTTAGAACACTCAAGAGCACAATTCCTTCATGATTTATGTAAAGAAATTGACGAATCTCCAAATCCAAAATTTACTCCTGTAAAGCCTCATGTTAAAAATTTCAAAAAAGATTCATGGATAATTGCAATGCAGATAGTTTCAAAGTATCTTCAAGCTCTTAAACTTGATATCACAAAAGATACTTTCGATATCGAAACAAAGAAACAGATAACACCTACATTTTATACGCATGGAATGATTCCTGTCAAAATAGATGAAAACGCAATTCGAGAACTCATAAATCTTAAAATGAATCCTCCTGAAGAAAATCAAACTCAGGATCAAGTAGAAGAGGAGCCATTTTAGCAACTCTGCTTTTTATTCATTTAATTCAATAGATTATTGAATATCTACCAAATCTTTAACTATTTACGTTGTAATAGTAATCGGTTCTATTTTACTCATCAATCATTTACGACCTTTACGCTTCTTGTATTGTAATTGTTCTTAATTTTTAAATTTGTATGTTTTTGTTTTATAAATGTATGTATTCTACGACTTTCCCTATTTGCATTAGGACTTCGGCTTTAGATATCCCTTTCTATCTTTTCATCAAAAGATATTAAACTGAATTTCGAAATCCTTCAGTTATAAAACAGTAGGTGTCAATTTTTTGCAATCAACTCAACGGTTCCATAGCATTGGTATCGAACAGATCTGAAAATGCTTTGAGGTTAAAAAAAAATAATATTGAATAACGTTCATTTTATCCGCTACATCGATTTTAACAAATATATAAAGTGAGTGCCACACATATGATTTAATTTCATGAAATAACTACTTTTATATTAGGTTTGCAAATTTGCTCAATACGTTTTATATAAAACATTGATTTCATTGAGTAAAAATAAGAGTAGGGGTAATTTTAGCTAAAAGTGACACACCTGTAAAAAGTGACACATCCGTGAAGGGTGTGATTACCGATCGGTAATTTCGACAGTTTAGAATTTAAAATTTTTTATGGAACTGTTGCGAGTTTCATAAAGAATTTAAGGAATATAAGCAAAGATTTGAATCAAAATCTTAGACCTAAGCCGCTCGATTCGCTCGCGGCTTCCGCGAATTACAGATCAGCAAAGATTTGAATCAAAATCTTCGAACTAAGCCGATCGCTTCGCTCGCGGCTTTCTTTATTATTTTAAATTTGCATATTTCCATCAAAAGTTCATAAGGTAAAAAATTTCGTTTATATTATTGCAAAATAAATCTTCATTATCAAAATAATATTAAATGATAATATAATATAATTTATAAACAACTATTATTTAATAAAGTTTAATTGCCAAGGTTCATCTAATTTTTTGATTTTTAATGTTTATGAATTTTATTTATCATGTATATATCTAATGAAGATTATATATGTAGAAGATAAGTACCTTAATATGTACGTAAATTTTAATGAAATTTATACAATATTATAAAAATTTATGAATAAAAACTTGATATAAAATAACATTTTTATTTTTACTAAGAAAAAAAAAGGTTTTTGATAATAAATTTATTTTATTTCGAAAAAGTAGCAATAATCGTAAAAGGGTATTGATAGGCTTGCTAAAGTAACTAATTTTAGCTGTCAAATACTTTTGTATTTTGAAGTAAATTAGTATAAATTTGTTTTTACTTTTATTTCGAAAAAGTAGCAATAATCGTAAAAGGGTATTGATAGGCTTGCTAAAGTAACTAATTTTAGCTGTCAAATACTTTTGTATTTTGAAGTAAATTAGTATAAATTTGATATTATTTTAACTCCCTTTGAAAACCTCAATTTTCCATACAGAGGGAACGGGAATAGCATCCAATATTCCCTGAGAATGGTTGCGCATTCTCAGTTCCCTCTATATTTCGAACGAAGCTCTCATCGGTCTTTTTTTTTAATACTAAACGTTTTTTTCCCCTGTCACTTTTAGCTAAAATTTGGGTTTGCCAAACGAAACCCTTAGTAAAAACCCACCTTCAAGTCATACGAGTATATTTCTTAATGAATTTAATAAACGGGTAGAATTTTCACTCTCAAAACTATTGAAATCATTATTTTTACATCGGTTAGATTTTAGAAAGTGAAATAAAATTTTTGAAATGATCAAGTAAGAAATAGAAGTGTATTTTAATAAGTTTTTTAAAAAGTTGTCAACTTTTCTCTTTTTTTTCAATAAATGAAAAAATCAGCCTTATCCGCCATAACTAAGGCTGGTGGGAGTAAGTTACATGTGTTATGGGCTAAGATTTACATGGTTGGTCCTAATCCTCCAAAGGATTTCGCTCAAAAATTTCCAACTTTAGAACCTCTCAAGAATCTCATTGATTTTCCAGGAATTGATACGGCGGATATCAAAAAAGCATGTAAACAATCGAATAGTCCAGCTGAACTTGAAACAAAACTTGTTCAATTGTTTAATTTAGATTATAATCCAACGATTGAAGTAGGAATTATCAATATAATACACAAGATTCAGTTTCCAAAATACAGTGAGCAGGCATTTACATATTTCTATTTCTTCTGTTTAAGAAGAATTATTCGAAATTTGTATTTATTTGACTCATCATATGAGAAACTTGTAGAAAACGATAGCCTATTGGAACATATTGACGCTATATATACTCTCTGCCCTCTAGTTGCAGTTCTTCTCCTAGGTCAAGATAAAAATTACGATTTGTTTGAAGAAGTCGTTCCCTACTTACTAGATAAGCTAGATTCGATATGGAAACCTACATTTTCCAATCCAAAAATGAAGAAAACTCAAGCTTGGCTTCTAGAAATCTTAACAGACTTAACAAGGCTCCTTCAGATGGAAAGAATGAACGGATACGATTCTACATACAATTTCGTGTTCAACCACTTCTCTTCAGTTTTAACAGATATTCCTGAAGATAATTTTGATGAAACCTTCGTTATTCCTTTCAGAAATGTTCTAGCCGGATTAACTACAATATACAGATTACTATCGGACCAAAACAAATTCGAAATTTCAACAATGGCAACAAATATTTTACAAATTATCGTCAAATTCAAAAATATTCAAAAGAAAGACGTCGCAGCTATAGGCAAACAAACACTAGGTTTATACGCTGAATGTTCTAAAGCATTATCTGCTGATATTTCGATAAATCAATTTCAAGTCATTATTAACTTCGTTATTTGGCTTATTCAGTCATCATCCGAAAATCACGCCCCTCATAAAGTAGTTTTACCATCAAAATCCAAAACTCTTCAACCAATTTCAACAAATTATTTCAATTACGTACAAATGATACCGGAAAGGCAATGTGCGTCACCAGCATCATTACAGATTACAGCTAGTTGTCTCTCAGACATCTGCCAAAGGTCACAACACGAAAAAGATTTGATGGCAATTTTGGCTAAGTCGATTTCGGAGAATTTACAAGATTTTACATCAGAACAAATGCAACAGTTTATCGGGTTCGTGATAGATGTCATCTACAAAGCGAAAGATCAAATGATTTTCGATGTTTTTCATTCAAATTGGGAATATCTATTAAATGAGCGGATTTTCAGCTTGACAGGTGATTCCGTTGTACAGAATGCAATCAGTCATTTGATTGTTAGGTTATTTAATTCATCAGCTGAACTTAGAAGTTCGATATTAAAAGCTCTGTCGGTTTTTATCTCAAAAGACCCTGAGAACCACATATTATATTTCATGCCGATGTTCGTAACCCTCTTTTCGATGAATGATCAGAATAATTTCATTGAAGAATTTTCGACATCGCCAATCCTTGAGATTTTCATACAACAGGCACCGGAGAACTACGATATATATGATTTCATACGTAGGATATCCATAAAAGATCCGCATTCTTGTTTTTCTGTCAACAAATATACGACATTTATTTTTTCATCGATTTCTGAAGAAGATTTCAAAGAGAGTGCGATATATTGTATCAAGATAGGCATGCTAAGCGCAAAATTATCCAATACAAATGAAAAAACATTAATTTCTATTTTTATTTTCATTATTCATACGCTAAACGCGTTCAGAAAGACCAACACCAAGCTTGGCATCATATTTATCAAGCTTTTACGCGAGATTTACTCAGAAATTCCCTTAAATATTTTCGATGATCTGTTTCAGCTTCAAATTTTCGAAGTAATCGCCGAGTATTGTATCTTCATGATGGATGAAGAGATGATACACGAGATGTTTAAGCTTTTCACTGAAGTTTCCAGATTATCATTGAAAATTTTGGCAAAATTCACAAATCAGAACTTCGCCATCTACAAAATAATCGAAAATGCCCTCAAAAACATCACTTTTTCGATTTCTGATGATTTATACGAATTTACATGTGGAGGAACCCAAAAAGGGCAGCCAATTGTGTTCAGAAATCCACGCGCATTGGAATTATTATTACTTTGGTCTGTGAATAAACCGGATGAAAAGGAAATTTTGTCGAAATTATTCCAACAATGCGTTGTTTCCTTCACTTCTATGGACATTCTTACCAAAGTCAATACGACAGCGCATTTAATAAAGAGATTAGGTAACTTTAACCAGTCAAATGACCTTTCTTTCGCAATTTCTGATATTATATCTCAATTATTTAGAAACACTTTCACAAATAGTGACCTTAATGAAGTTATATCACTCATAAAGGACCCATCCTATAAGAATCCACACATGTTCCTTGAAGTTTTTTATGATTTCTTAAAATATCCGCAAATTCCTTTTCCAAATGCCTATTTCCACTTCAATGGGCTCAAGTCTGGCATCGAAAGTATCGATTTACCCCTTCCAGACACGTTTAATGTCAAGTTTTCCGCAAGATTTGATTTAAATATCATGAGATCGACTCTTACATTCTTAACTATCAAGTTTAAGACAGAAACAATCAAAATAGATATCACTTCCACTCAGAAAATCGTCATAACTCGAAAAACTCAGTCAAATAATTTCCAATTTGAGCCAATTTTGACGTTAAACCAAGGAATCTGGACAGATTTCACATTCGCTTTTGGTCAGAACCACATGAGTATCACTCATTACAACAAAACCCAGACATTTAACATTCATCCGAACCAAATTCGAGGATTAACTAACGCTACAATCAAAATCGGCGATATAAACAGTAGTTTCTCGCAACTAGGCCTTCCATGCGAGGTTTCCGTAATAAAATTCTGTGATTCCGAGAAGATTTACGCCTCATTTGATCCTTTACACGTATTTAGAGACAAATTGGCCGATGTTTATCAAGGAGCGCCACCAATAACGTTCTCAGGAGAGGTTTATCCGTACGTAATTGGTATACAAACTGTTGTTCCGACGATTTCTGCTTTGACTAATTTCATTCCATTGTTATCTCGACTGAATGATGAACGTATTCCATTCAAAGAAGGCTCCCTTTTGCTTAAGAAGTTCTTCAACATACTGACTTGGTGCTTTACTAAGCGAGAACTGCTTCAAGAAGAGTTTGCAAAGGAAAATTTGGTCCAAGTATTGGCCGGATACATCATGAACTTGGATAAATCGTATTTGGGATCTGATACCATCAAATACCTCGCAGACATCTTCAATGTTATCACTAATTCTCAGATGATTATTTCGTTCATTCAAGACATCCTATTCAATTTCGAACTTCTTAAGAAATTTGAGAGCATTATCGTCCTTTACTTCTCAAATTTATTACCGAAAATTTTTGTTGACAATCAGCCGAAATTCGAATACTTCAAGGACTACGAAACACTAATTGTTGGTTTCATTGAGAATGATGATAAAAAGATTCGAGATGTCATATGGAAATTCATTTTCAGTTTCTTCCAGTCGCTGAAACCGAAGAATATAACCATGAAACTCATTACTTTGGCGTCGTTACAAGTAGATGACTTCATAAAAGAGAATTTACTCTCATTAACAAAATCTTTAGTGTATTCCACCGACGAATCCGATCTAAAAGAGCTTGAAACTTATGATTACATACTTCCTTTCCTAGATACAATCGATTCGCGCTATTCTAAGGATTGTATCATCAGATTGTCAAAATTTTTAACGACAGAGCAACAAGAGAAGCTCGCTTTCATCATGATATACAAATTAGAGGATACAAACATCATTTCTTCCTGTTACGAGTTCATTAGAAAAATTATTTTTGTTGATGAACATAAAACTAACTTTGCAATGATGCCATTCATCTCGAAAGCCATGAAATATTGGTCAGAATCAGAGAAATCATATATACAGAATAATTTTATCTCAATAATTTCAAATTCTCCTTCAATTTTCCCTTCTTTCATTGAAAATCCACTTCCTTTGTACTGGTTATCCAACATTATGCTCCAATGCATCAATATAGAGACAGATACAATCAAATTTGTCGTTCCTTTCTCATTAATTTTGACAAACATGAAAAAAGGTCAATTTCCAATATCAAACTTCCTTTCTTTCTGCATAACAATGCAAAAGGAAACAGGAAGGAACTTCCTCTGCCTCTACAAACGAGTTATTCGAGATATAATTGTTAAATTTTCTGCAAAAGAGGACATTGTCCTTTCCAAAGAGGATCTTCTATGGTCATTCTTCGTCGCCTGCTTCTACGACATAACTTTTGTCCAAGACAAAACGAAATCCGACGAAGATTTAACGAATGACTACGTACAGCTCCATTTGAACAGCAAAATCACAAAAGCCAATGATATAAAGTCACTAGGAAACATTATCTCTGGTTTTGACTCTTCAATTATTGTAAAATTCCGACCAACTATAAATCCAGACCATTTAGACGTAATGGAAATGTTTCTGGCATTGATTGATGAATTTACTGACACAAAAATTAGTTTTGACAGTAAATTTAGGCTATCGTCATGTCACGTTTTCTCTTACATTATTGTCACTTTTCTAAGATATGGGAAAATGTTTAATTTTGAGAGTGATGTTGAGAAACTTACCAAAATCTTAGACAAAGAAGATCAAATTGTCAGTCATTGTTGTAGTTCAATTATTATCAAAGAAGCCAAGAGAAATAAACTTGATATCTTTAATTTGGAGATTTATCCATTGGCTTTCAATGATCATGATGATTCTCCTGAACTACAGATGTTCCTTTTCGAAGACAAACTCTGCAGAATCTGTTCTTCTTTGAGTAACCAAATTTCCCTCAAATCAACTGAAGTTTCTGTTGATTTAAGACTAAAAATCATAGAAAGAATCAAAGGAAAACAACAAGAAACAAAAAGAAAAGTTGTTATAGAACAAAGTCCAACGAAAAGACAAATAAGAACTCAAACAACTAAAAGAAAGACGTATCAAATTGATGAAAAAGATCTCCAATTATCATTGAATGAATACTACCAGTCTAAAAAGAAAAATACTTTCATTGAACATAAATCTCCGAAAAGTGAAGTAAAAAGTGACATAAAGGAAACAAAAAGTGACATCAGAAAATCAAAATCAGATATAAAATTCTCTCCAGAAGATTTTAATTCTAATGAAATTAAATCTGACACGAGGAAAACAAAAAGTGACAATAATTTACCAAAAAGTGACAATAATTTACAAAAAAGTGACACCGGGGAAGTTCCCTCCGATCATGACTCTGAAAATGAGTTTTCTGAGATTGATTCGTTGTTTGTAAAACTGAAAGAATATGGAGAAGAAACAGAACAAAATGCTTTAAATAATTTGAGAAAATTACGAGCGAACAGAGAAGAAACAATGAGAAATTACAAGAAGATGATAGAGAAATCAGCAGGGCCATGGTCGACAAACAAAGATACAGAACAAAACCAACTGTATTTGTTGAACAGAACAACAAAAGATGGACAAAGAAATTGTTTAGTTTATAAGTCCAAAAACACGAAAAAGTTCGATTTCGTGTTCGACAAAAACAACGTGACTTATAAATGCGAAGCAACATTTGTTAGAGTCCTCGACAAATTCGTTGGAAATCTTTATCTCTACGACCAACAAAAACTCATTGTTTTCTACGGAAATTGTGAAGAAACTGAAGAATCAAAACTCCTGAAAATTAAATATTCCGACATTGATTTCATATTCTACCATGATGGCGGAATTGTCATAATTACGAGACAAGGATCTCATTATCTTCTTAAGATATCTCCATCAATAAGAAAGGAATTTCTCAGAAACATCAATTATAAATCTGATGACAAAAAATACGAGAAATTCAACTTTTTCGCAAAATGCAGAAAAATTTGTTCAAAAATTTATCAGTCAAAAAGTGGTTCTGAAATATACAATGAAATGAAACTCCAAAAGAGATGGATGGAGAAAAGAATCACTACATTCGAATACATTATTTACATGAACTATTTGAGTGGAAGATCATTCGCTGATGTTGAAAATTACCCTGTTTTTCCACAACCTCTCAAATTCCATGACATAAGAGGTCATTCATACAACAGACAGCCTTCCCCTGCAAAAATTGATGCAAAGAATGTGTTGAATCAGCTGAGAAATGTTGAACCGTACAGAGAGGCATTTAAGAGGATTCAGGAGGGAGAATTAGTTGTTTGTTCCAATGATTCTTCTGAGGAATTCTCCCCTGAAAACTTCGTAACAATGATTCCATCTGATATAATGAATGATGACGATGACTCTTTCGACCAACTTAGATCTAATCCTTTCAACGACGACGAAAACTTCCAAAATTCTATCAAAATGATCACTTCACCTGACAAATTCCTTGAAAACGAAATTCCACAAACTAATGATTCTGGTCAAAATAATGAGAAAACTAATGATGTTTCTCAAAATAATGAGAAAACTAATGATGTTTCTCAAAATAATGAGAAAACTAATGATATTTCTCAAAATAATGAGAAAACTAATGATGATTCTCAAAATAATGGAAATCAAAATGTGAAAATTAATGTAATTCCACAAATCAATGAGAAACAAAACGAATCTGGAAAAGATAATGAGAAATCTAATGAAAGAATTAATGAATCTGCACAAGATAATGAGAAACAAAATGAAATTGCTGAAAATTCTAATGAAAATGATGGAAGTCAAAATGAGAAATCATCAAATGAAATTTCTAAAAATGAAGAAAAATCTAAGGAAAATTGTCAAAATGAAATTTCTTCAAATAATGAAAATTTCAATGAAAAAGTGACAGAACTCACTAGTAATGATGAAAGTAAGGAGATTTCGAAGGAACTTATTCAAACTCTAGATAAATTTAATGAGAAATTAAATCAAGTGTCAGAAATTAATGAAAAAGTAACAGAATTTACAAAAACCGATGAAAAGTTAAGTGAAAATACACAAATTAATGAAAGATTTTCCACTCCATCTTCGTTAGATAACTACAGTTCTCTTGATAACCAAGAAAACAAAGTAAATGAAAATTCAGAATTTTCGAATTCAGAAAAAATGTTTTCAAGTAACGAAACTGATTTATTTAATTTAGAAAGTGAAAACTCAATAACAATCAGTTCCAATTCATCCTCCAAATCTCCAGGAATCTCTCCATCGCGTACACAAGGCGAAGAAATCGAAATAACAAACTTCAGAGTCTTCCAAAGTCTTCCACGAACTGATTTCTGCGAAAAAGAAAGTCCAACAAGAAGATCAACTTTCATTGGCTCGACAACTACTTCCATCACTGATTTCAGTGGAATTCCTCAATTCGACCAAGAATCCGCTCTAGTTCCTGAAGTTTTCTGTGTTTCCACATTAACAAACGGACTTGGAACGAACATAAAATGGGCATGTGACGGCGAACAACTGATGATTTCGATGATGTCCGCTTTAGAAGCATTCCAATTCACCACACAAGCGCATAAATGGTTTTCCGCAGCCTTCCCAACAGTTCTTAAGCAAGAACATCCACAAAGAGTTACGAATCCTGATATAGAAACAGTAACTGTTCCTTCACATCCTTTAGATACGAAACCATTCAAGATATTAAGAGGATTTTGTTTTTGTGGACATTTAATCAAAGATATAATGAACCACACGAGTCAGATCGATATCAAACTTCCTCCTTCTTTTAATAGATACTCATTAATTGATGGACATCATTCTACTTCTAAAGTTGTCATTTCCAATTTGTTCGGGAAACAGATTGATGTGTTTTCTCTTCGAAAAGAACCACAACAATCAATTAATTTCGGACAAATAACTGATGGAGCTTTAGTTACTTGTTTATCTGTTTGTGGATCGAATTATTTAGTTGTTGGATCAACGGATTGTTCCATTTACGTTTTCTCTTTGAAAACAACGGAATTTCTTCAAAAAACGAGTTTCCACACACGACAAATTGTTTGTCTTGCATCGTGTTCTGCATCTAAACTTGTTATGAGTACTGATATCTGTGGAAATTGTGTTGTAGAAAGTGTTGCAAAGAAATCATTTTTGTGTTCATTTTCTTTGTCTTCTTTCAACACATTTTCTAAGTTATATCTGTTTCCAAGTGGATATTTCGTTGTTGTTAGCGTTGACGAAGACCAGAAACAAGTTTGCATCAGGTCAAGCACAATTTTCAACGCAAAAACATTCAGGAAAAAGTATGCAGAAGGAAATTTAACATGCTGCAGAAAAGTTAAAGTTGATGGAATTGATAAAATTGTTATAGGTTTTGAGAATGGAGTGATTAAGAGTTATTTAGTTCAGAATTTAACACTTAGTTTGACATTGAACACTCATATCAACACACCAACATTTTGCAGCGCTGGAAACACAGGAAAAATAATTTTGTGCGGTTCAAATAATACATTATACCTCCAATCTGTTTAATATATCTATATTATTTATTTATTTTTTTTTTTCTTTTGTAAGTAAAATATTTATTCGTGTTAAAATTATTTTTTAGAATCATTATTCAAGAAAGATCATTAGAACTTAGTTTTCTCTCAATACAATTAATATGATTTTGATATTCATTCAAGAAGAATATTTTTTTTGTCATTCAGCTTTGAAGAATGTGTTTTTGTCATTCATTCAAGAAGAATTTCATAAAAACAATATTTGTGATTCCTCTTTCCTGGAAAATATTTTTTTTACTTATCAACTAAAGATCTCATTCTTTCTGCAGAAAGAGGTATTTTAGCATGCACCTTTCCACCATGAGCCACCATTTGCTTCGTGGTTCAGATCTATACGTCAGCGTATTGGCTCCAAAAGGTTCGTAGTTCTGGGGCGTAATCTTATTATATGAGGGTGTGGACGTGGTATGAAGCCATGTGCTTCACCCCAACCATAGGCAATTTCACCTGATGGACAGTTCTTTTCTTCTTCACTCCAACCAATACGCCATGGCTTTGATCCTCTTGTTGGGTCAAATGGAATTTCCCACTTGTTTTCTTCGTTGGGCCTGCACATTGGCATTCCATATTCATCAGGCCAACATTCAACATTCGTAGTTCTGGGTATTCTTTTGATTACACGAGGGTGTGGACGTGGTATGAAGCCATGTGCTTCACCCCAACCATAGGCAATTTCACCTGATGGACAGTTCTTTTCTTCTTCACTCCAACCAATACGCCATGGCTTTGATCCTCTTGTTGGGTCAAATGGAATTTCCCATTTGTTTTCTTCGTGGATATCGCAAACTGGCTGGCCAAATCTATCAGGACGACATACAACATTCGTAGGTCTGAGGTATCTTTCTTCTTGGAAAAAGCGTGGGAATCCATTCTTAGTTAAGTTTCGTCTCCTCATTATTAACCATCCTATAGGTGTTCCGAAAGGATGATGAGCGCCAGTAAGTCCACTATATGGACAGTTCTTTTCTTCTTCACTCCAACCAGTACGCCATGGCCTTGGAGGTGCTATTGGATCAATTGGAAATTCCCACTTGTTTTCTTCTTGGAAAAAGCGTGGGAATCCAGCTTCATGAGAAGGATCCCAAGGTCTTGGATGTCCATTCTTAGTTAAGTTTCGTTTCATCGCTAATACAACTCCTATAGGTGTTCCGCAACGATGAAACTCGCACCAACCGGCGGAAAGTCCACCATATGGACAGTTCTTTTCTTCTTCACTCCAGCGAGGGAGATAAACTCCTCTTCTTGTCCTAGAATGACTTGGATAGGAAAGACTTAAGCTTGAAAATACAAATAACATAATGAATTTTATTTTTTTCAGATTCCATTGAATTTTTTTGTTTATGAAATTTTTAACAAAATAGTTCAGAATTAGTTAAAAACGTAGGATTATACTAACTAATTTATCTGGCATTTTTGTCAAATGACATCGATTCGTCATATGCCAGATTTCAAAAAGTTCAAAAAAAAAATTCCAAATAGAAAATCTCTTTTTTATGGCTATGGAGAATGACTTAAAAGTTAATAAAACTCTAATTTTCCATTATGAAGTCCCCCCAAATAGCTACATAGTGAAATGAAGAAAAGAATTCTAAGAATCAAGCTGATTTGAAGCCAGTATTTTCTTTGCTATAATATGAGAAAATAGGACAAATGAATTTCATTCCACATCGGAAATTGACCAGATAAGATTTGTATTTTTGATTATGAGCTAATGAAGTTAAATTAATATATTTATTACTAAGTATATAGATGTATTATATTTAATCATTATACAAACATGTTTAATCTATAATTCATTTATAAATAAAACACAACAATAAAAATAAATCTGCACAATAAGATAATTAACTATATATGAATGATTAGAGATTTTGCAAAACAGGGGCATTGTTCTTAGAGAAGAAATTGGTTGTTTCGCAGCAATCCTGAGAAATTCTTGATTTCAAGTCTTCAATTGACTTAAATGCACGCATTTTTCTGATGAAATGATGAACATAAACTGTAATCTTTTCGCCATAAATATCTTCATCGAAGTTAAGAATATGAACTTCAAATGTTGGAGTAGTCATCTCGAATGTGACATTTTTGCCAATGGAGAATACACATTTATATTCAGGGCCATTGTTTATTGAGCAAATTCCGCAATAAACACCGAAATCATCTTCAGAAAGATCAATGGTCCATGACTTCGGATCAATATTTGCTGTTGGAAAACCAAGTTGGCGGGAGCCCCTCTGAAAACCCTTAACAACTGTACCTGAGAAATGTGTGGGGAGTTTCATTTTAAAATGATGCTTTCACTTTTGAATACGTTCACATTTCTCTTCTCAATAAATCCAATAAACCTTCTTAATTTTTCTATCTCACTAGTAATTATATTATACATGAATTGTACTATATAAAATCATGAAAAATTTTTAACATAGTGCATTTTGAGCCCTTAGAGGTAAAAACGAATGTACCTATGCAAGTATACAATATTTTTACTACGATTCTGTGCAAAAATTTTCATTAACCTCGTTCAAAATTTTCAAAAAATTTTGTGAAGAACGGGTAGAGGTAATTTTGAATAGCCATATAATTTCTGAATGCCAGCGATAATTATATCAAAAATCCGATTACAGTATGAATATATTTTTTAAATCCTTTTATCGTAAGAAAACTTCTCAAAATTTAGAAAATTGAAAACTTTTCAAAATCTTATTTATTTACGAATAAACATACTATTTTCGTTCATTACTAAGCATTGATTAATGTGGTACAATTGGGTATCACTGAAATAATAGGATTTATGATGAATTGCAATTTCAAATTTCCGAAACTTCATGAATGCTGTAAGTCTTGTTAAAAATTGAATAAGTAAGAGTTTTCTATTTCAATTTCAAGTTGCTGTATTAATTTTCGTCATAAAAAACATGCGTTGCTAACTATATTTTAGTGGCAATCTATATAATCGAATCTATCGGTATTTTAGAGCTTAAAATATCTCCAAGAACGAACGGAGTAAATAATACTAATAATAAATATAATTAATCCTTTTATTTTAAAATCATGTTAAGAAAAATACAATTATTGGCGTAATAAATGAAAGCGGTAGATAGTAAGATGCTCTATATGTAGGACATGAACTTATTGAATATATATAAGTAATGTTATCGGTTTTAAATGTAGAATATATAAAGTTGCCATAGGAGTATATTATTTCCTTTTGTCTATAATCTCTATATACAATTATTGATTCTAAAACATTGCAGGACTGAAAGTTATATTGACCAAATTTCAAAAATGATTGAGGGAAAACTACATTTTTGAGAAACACAAGTCTCGAAAAAGCGGCATGCGATGCAGCAATAACACCATTTGGAATGTTATAAAATGTGATGTTTTTTGATGAAGGAAAATAAATCAATGTTTTCATATCTTTGGTAAACAAAATTCCATCAACTGAGCAATAATTTTGATTTTCTGGATCAACATCTATATGCTCTAATCCCGGAGTGTCATCAAATGGATTATCGGTTGATAAATATTTAACTCCTCTTGGAATTTTAAATGAGCGAACTTGAGTTCCAATTAAAATACCATTATCAATAGATGTTAACGAGTCTGGAAGGTAAACATATATTAACTTTGAAAAATTCTTAAAACAGGCGTAGGGAATAGATAGAAAACCTTCAGAGATAGTGACACTAGTATATTGGGACCAGGACGTATCTGGCGGAAATGAAACTGTGGTTGAATCAGTAAAGTTTAGTAAATAATTTTCAGACAAATGTTACTTTTCCTTTACAAAACAATGAAAGAATTTAATAATGATCCTATTGTTATATAAACTCTCTTGAATATGAAGCGGAAACATATAACTTAAGTTGGATAGAACTCAATTGTTTCAAAAATAAGAAATTTTGATTGGATAATGCAATTTAATGCATATGCAATTTTGAGAATTTTGAAGTATTCATATTTTCTTTTCCAGAATAAAACCTTTTTGAATTTCGAAAAAATAAGAAAAAAATGTAAAAATTAAATAAACGCGCTTTTTATACTTTTTCAGTTAGACCAACAAATTATTGCTGATTATCATCAGCAGCAGCTCTTAAAGGATATGGGATATTTGCACATGAAGCTTTGTATTCTTCAAATTGGGTCTGAAGATTAGCTTTTGCAATAATTTTCTTGACGGCTTCTTGGCAATCGCCTCCGATGAAGAAATCTTTTCCTTTTCCGTATACAAAAACTCCAGAGTAATTAAAGAATCCAAAAGTCAACCATGACTTGAATGCATGCCATGTTTCTCTTAATCTCCCTCCTTTCGCTTTAACCTTGTCATAGTTGATGACAAATCTTGGAATTCCGGCTGGAACTTCTTCAACTAGATCTGCAAATGGATATACACCAAGGGATGTTCCAGTAATTATACAAAGATCGCAACTGTGGAAGTCTTCATACAAAGTTTGTTCGAATCTATCTGGCATCGCTTCACCGAAAAATGTAACATCAGGTTTAACATGTTCACCATCACAACTTGGACAATGTGGAACAACAGCATTAGTCATATTGAGTCTTCTGTTTTCAAAGTTGGGTTGAATTTGACGTAAACATTCAGCTAAGGGTACTGCAGCATGGCAATCACAGCAATGACATGTTGGAAGGGCTCCATGACATTGGACAAGCTTATCTTCTGGAAGGCCTCCTGGTATTTCCAATCCATCAACGTTTTGCGTGTAAACTCTCTTTAATACACCGAGTTGGTTTAGATAACCAATAAAGTAGTGCATTTCGGTGGGTCTCGGCCATAAATCTTTTGGCCAAAGGTGACTAAATATCCACCAAAAAGGTTTTGGATCGTCCATGAATACATCAATGTCAAAAACGAATGTCGGATCTCTAAATTTCAATCTAGAAGCTGACTTTAAGGTTGCATATATACCAATTGCCGGAGATCTGAAATCTGGAATTCCAGCAGCAGTTGAAATTCCAGCTCCCGTTAAGACTATGACATTTTTATAGTTTCCGCTAATAATTTTTTGAGCTAATATTTCGCAAGGATCAGGTTTTGGCATTACTATAATTTAAAATATTTAATCGTTCATTCTACAACGTCAACTTTTTGAATAAACACATACAACTAATTATACTTTTTTCTCAATTTTTTTGTCAGATTACAGTTTGTAAATCTTGATATCACTAATTTCGATCAAGTGTCATCATTCTTCATTAATGCGCATATAACTCTTAGTTTGGCGTATATTAATCTCTGCATTTATACCAATTTTTAATCTAGGTTATATTTGAAAATTTTTCTAATTGGTAATACCCATCGATGACACAATAGATTATTGCAATAACAGTTATATGTCTTGTGGTTACGAGAACTTTGTCATCTGACTATTTCCAATGGGTGTTTTCAACCTTTTTCGAATTAGCAGGATTTTGAAATATTTCTATCATACATCTGCGTACATATGATCAAATAGTCTGAAGCTTGCTAAAATCTCTTGAGTGAACATGCAGCTTTTCATCATTCTCACCACATTTGTTCAACTCATTATTAAGCTGCAAATAATTTCAGAAATATGAATTAAATCATGCATTGATGTGAATTATTTCCAGAATATGGATTTATTGATAAATCTAACAATTGTTGATGTGAATAAACAAATGGATGTTGATTCACATTGAAAGGAAACATTTTGGAAACTGTTTTTAATCTTAAAGATGTAGAAGCAAATCCATGAGCCAATAGTCATAAATCCGAAAATATACAGACATACGAAATATTAATTTTATTGAACAATATTATAAGTATTTAGCTGCTGCAAAGCTGTTTATTGCAGTTTGTTCCGTCCACAATGCAAGAGGAAATACAATTGCTTTTTCCATTTTCAAGATATAACACAGATCTTGATAAAAAATGATGAAAACTTATTTTTCAAGAAATTAAATAAGGGTTTCGTTTTGCGAAAAAAACGTACAATACGCAATTTCGCTAAAAAAACATTTAGCTAGCAATTTCGACCTTTGACTCCACTCAAGACGTCACTTTTTTAATTTTGCGGTATCATATTTTTGGAAAATCTTTATGAATATTATATAAAAAGTCTCTTTAATATCTATATTTCATATTTTTATCGATTTTTAAAGTTTTTGCGAAAAGTATTCAATTATTTTTGCTATTTGGTCGGGTAAATGTCAGATTTGCGACATTTTCTGATATGATATTCAGATTCTACGTTGATAATAATGCATATAGAACCCTCTTGCTATTGTGTCAAAATTGCGAAACCGATAGCAAAAATATCTCGCAATATCAAAATTGAGATATTGAGTGAATTATGCATTATAGAGATTAAAAATCTGATTTGTGAAAACATCTCATCAGTTTCTAGCTAATTCAAAAATCTTTACTATCTTATTCGATTAAAATGAAAAGGGAATAGTTTCATTATGCTTTAAATGACAGCCTTATAATATAATCATAGTTTTCGCTCAATATGCAGCATTTTTTTTTCGAAATCTATGGTCAATGTCCTAAATACTGATTGCTTTGCATTCATATCTCTTACATTTTCTATACCCACATCACTATTCATTGCTATTCCTATCTTTTTCATTTTTGTTTGTTTCTCATAATTTCTCAAAAAACACGATAACTTGATATTTGTAAATATCATACTTTATAACGTAAATAAGAACTTGACCTATTAAGAAAAGCAGTAATGAAAAGAAAATCTGAAATTCATAAAAATTACAAGTTTCTGATGACAATTAGCTTAATTAAACCAGGTACAAGATTATATAATTGTATTTTCTATCCAATTATCCATATAATATCTTATCCAGAAAAAATAACTTGATCAATACCAAATGATTTTTTAACTAGTAAATAAAGTATTTTCTTTACACACACATTGTATATCATAGTTTTTTTTTTTGGTTTCGCAAAATATCCAAAAACAAATATGCTATAAAAGTGACAATTTTAGCAAAACGAAACCCTTAAATTAAACAGCACAGAATCAAAGATATACCATTGCTTTCGCTCTGTTTCAGTTTTCCAGAAAAGATGTTGGATATTTTAAATATTTTTTGGAAAATTTATATTGTCAAAATTATTTTTATGTCACAAGCAAATCCTTCACAGAATAAGCTTAAGATTACTTTTCTTGGTGAGCCAAGTGTTGGAAAGTCATGCATCGTCTATCGTCTTGCTAACGATGAATTTAATGAAAATCTAACGCCAACACTCGGATTGACATTTTATGAGCGTGAATTTCAAAATTCAGAAGCCAAAAAATATACCTTTAGCTTTAATGATCTTCCAGGATCCACTACTGCATACAATATGGTAAACACTTGGTATCGTAAATCTAATTTAATCCTTTTAGTTTACGATGTTTCTTCAACCGAATCATACGATGCCATTAAATTATGGTACGAAAAACTCAATGGAGAAAAATTTTCTATTATTTTAGTAGGAAATAAAGCAGATTTAGATAAAGCCATTACACCAGAAGATGAAAGATACAAGGATATCGTCAATGAACATATACAGGTTTCAGCAAAGACCGGTGAAGGAATGCCTTCGCTCAAAGAAAAGATTATCGAATTGGCATCTCATAACTTATATGAAGATCAACAACTCAAAGAGAAGCAGGATAAGAAGGGATGCTGCTAAAATTAGTTTCGTTATAAATATGATTTTGTTGAATAGTTTATATTTTTTAATATTTTTTTTCTTATGACTTTTCATCTACATAATAAGAGAAAATGGGAAATCAAGAGTTCTTTTTCAATGAAAAGTTTATAGATTTTGAGAAATATATGAACTAAAAATCGAAATTCATGAAAGATAGAACCAATGATGGTAGAGCTATACTACTTGCTCATTATATCTTACACCAGAATTTCTAAATCTAAAAACATGAAAAGGTAACTAAACTCCTTTCGCCGATCCGATTTGCTCCATATTTAAAATATAGCTTGCATATGTAGAAGAAAAGCTAATTTTGAAGTACGCCCGAAATCCACCAACAGGATTTCGAGCTACTAAAAAGGTACTTTTAAATGTGATTTTTTTTATAAAAAATTAAATTTATTTTAAGATCAGACTAAAAACTAATTTTATGGAAAATCTATATCGACAAATTTATTACTTATTGGGTATATAGATTTTTTGATTATGGCGATTATGTCTGATATGCTTCCAATAAGCCAAAACACATTTCATACTGATTTCTATAAAAGGTATCTTTATTATAGAAGTGTAAGCTATATCTGTTTGTTTTTTTTTATTATAACAAATTCAAAATTCTCTTATAAGGACTAGATGAAATCTGTATTACTAAATCATTAGCTAAATGAAGGTTCAAATAGAAAGTAAATATCAATTTATATGATACTGAAACCAAATAGTTCTTTTAATAAAAGATAACACGCTGAAAATTATTGAGTATTTGCAAATCTCAAAAATCTATTGGTGAATTTGGCTCAACTTTTAAAATTATAACATCCATATCAAATCATAAAAGCAGACAAAAATTAAAGCCAAACCTATCGGCCAATTTTTTTTTGATATTTTGATTTTTGAGGTATACTTTTAAAAGTGGATTTAAAGCACTTATGAAAAAACATTAACTTCTGTCGTTATGATTATTGATTTCGACAATAATGATTTTAATCTTTGATTATCAAAACACTAAAGTCATCTTTTTAACATTTGCTTGGTAGCATTAACTCAAGTCTAAAGTACTATTTTATGTGGAACTCTTAGAATTTTTGTATTCATTGTACACGCTGAAATAGTACCATTAAAGTTATGGCGGACTTTCAAAAAATAGTTTGGTCACCTTTAAACATGTAAGAATTTTCAATCATAGAAAGAAAAATTTAATAAAATTAAGAATGTAAGCATTGCGTTGGTGAGAAACACATGATAAAAATTCAGATTGAAATGTTTACAACGTAAGAATTTTTTCGTTACAATTTTGTTTTCATGCAAAAGAATGATCACGCGAATAAAACAAAAGATGAAGAATATAGTGAATACTACGATGAAGAAGAGTCGTACTATTCAGATGAAATAAATGAAAAACCAATAAAAAAATCAACTCAAACGTTAACACAAAATAAATATGCAGTTCTCTCGGATTCTCTTAAAAGTGATGACAGTGAGTCAACATTTAAAAGTACAGTTCAATCAAAAATTAGTAACAAATTATTGAGCACAAATACATCTAAAGGACGGTTATCAAATCAGCAAATTTATGCAGTTACAGAACCAAAAATTTCATCTCGTAACTTTAATAAGTCACCAAGATCACCAATTAGCAGAAATAATACTTTTTCCAGTGATGAAGACTTTGATTTCGATCAATACGAAGAATTTGTTAGTGGCATAGCAGAAAAGAATCAATTACCTCCGGATGATTATATAGAATCCGTTGAAGAATATATTAATCAATGTATTCCTAAAGCAATTGAACATCGCAACTATAAAGCTGCAAAAAGATATCAGCAGGCATCACAGAACTTACAAATCATCACAAAATCACAAGCAGCTGATGTTCAATACGGAACTAAAGATAAACTGATGTTTGCACAGAACAAAATCAGAGAAATCAACGAAAAATACGATAAATTGATCAGATATAAACTGGCAGAGTTCAATGTCTTGAAAAATCAGTTAAATGAAAAAATTTCTCAAGAAGATCAAGAATTTGAGGAAAAATGGAACTCACCACAGCAAATTAATCCATTTGCGAAGCCATCACGTCAGTTACTCAATCTCAGAATTGTAGAAAATAAATATGCAGAAGCTGGAATGTTTGATGAAGCAGATGCAATGAGAATTAGAGCAGATAAGCTTGAAGCACAAGAAACAAAAGAAGCCAGACAACAGTTGTTTAGAGAAATGCAAAAAGCTTTCGAATCTCTCAAAGCAAATCAAAATAAGCAAATTGAAGGCCTCAACGATTACAGAGATCGCGAAATACATAATCTAGAGATCAAAAGACAAAAAGAATTAAATGGAGTTGAAAAATTTGCAAAACGACCGGATGTGGCTAATCCTACACCAAAAGTTAGAGATGCGAAACTTTATAAACCTCGCCAAAAGCGCTATGATATTGAATTAAAAAGTTATACGCTAAATTTAGGCAAATTTAACTTAAAACAAGTAATACATCCAGAAACTAATCGTTCTCCACGCAGCGCTCGAAGATCTCCTGCAATATGAAATATTTTTTCTTATATTTGTATGTAATCTTAAGCAAAGTAAAAAGTTACTTTTGTTACATAATATTTTTATCTCCAAAATGAAATAACCATATGTTTATCCAGGTAACATGGCCAGATATTAAAATTTTCATAAATTTTTCAGAAATTATTAAAAATTAGATCGTAAAACAATAAGGATATACAAAACTATCTCATGCCTTAATCAAATAAACATGATTCAAGATCAAACGATAAATTATTGATGAATTTTCAAAGGTGACCAAACTATTTTTTGAAAGTCCGCCATAACTTTAATGGTACTATTTCAGCGTGTACAATGAATACAAAAATTCTAAGAGTTCCACATAAAATAGTACTTTAGACTTGAGTTAATGCTACCAAGCAAATGTTAAAAAGATGACTTTAGTGTTTTGATAATCAAAGATTAAAATCATTATTGTCGAAATCAATAATCATAACGACAGAAGTTAATGTTTTTTCATAAGTGCTTTAAATCCACTTTTAAAAGTATACCTCAAAAATCAAAATATCAAAAAAAAATTGGCCGATAGGTTTGGCTTTAATTTTTGTCTGCTTTTATGATTTGATATGGATGTTATAATTTTAAAAGTTGAGCCAAATTCACCAATAGATTTTTGAGATTTGCAAATACTCAATAATTTTCAGAGTAGGTGACAAAAGTGCATACTCTTAAACTACATGCATCTCTCACCTCAGTGAATGAGATCAACTATATGATAACTTTTTCCCCATTATATTCTTGTGGAAAAGTGACAAATAGCAACTTTGACCCTCTCTCATAATTTTCAGCGTGTTATCTTTTATTAAAAGAACTATTTGGTTTCAGTATCATATAAATTGATATTTACTTTCTATTTGAACCTTCATTTAGCTAATGATTTAGTAATACAGATTTCATCTAGTCCTTATAAGAGAATTTTGAATTTGTTATAATAAAAAAAAAACAAACAGATATAGCTTACACTTCTATAATAAAGATACCTTTTATAGAAATCAGTATGAAATTTGTTTTTTGACATGTAAAGCTCTCAATTCATTATAACATGTTTGTCGATTTTTATATATTTTTCGCTTTCATTATCTATGATATTAAAAATTATGTCATCAGAATGTGAAATAATTAAACAAATGCCCTGCGGGAAGTATTTTATACTAGAATTTATAAAAAAAATCACTGTACGTTTAGCCTACTGGTTATGTCGTGGGGTTCAAAGGCAATATTTTCAAATCGGTAAGCACCCAGTTTTTTTTTAACAAGGTGAATATAACTTTTGATCGAAATCAATGAGTTACATGAATTATCATTTATCTAACTACAATTAAATTGTGAAAATATACTATCCAATATTAGCGTTTAATAAAATCAAAGATTATTGACTTATATTTTGAAAGTAATCTAAGCAGAATTTAGATATCCAAATTCTAAATATCTTCATGCTTAGATGCTAGATAATATATTCTTATTTGAAAAATTTATAATGTTATTATTTTCTTATTTGATATTTACTACAAGCAGAAAAGCATTTATATTGTAAATTAACAGATTATGATAATTATACTCGTTTTTATATGTTCTTAATGAAGAATATCAAACGTATTTCTATGAGTTTTAAAAAATGAAAAGTTTTAATATGGCTAATATATTTATTATCATTAATAGAATAAAAAAGTTTTTTTCGCATATCACTCGATGATTGGCAAACCCAAATTTTAGCTAAAAGTGACAGGGAAAAAAAACGTTTAGTATTAAAAAAAAAGACCGATGAGAGCTTCGTTCGAAATATAGAGGGAACTGAGAATGCGCAACCATTCTCAGGGAATATTGGATGCTATTCCCGTTCCCTCTGTATGGAAAATTGAGGTTTTCAAAGGGAGTTAAAATAATATCAAATTTATACTAATTTACTTCAAAATACAAAAGTATTTGACAGTTAAAATTAGTTACTTTAGCAAGCCTATCAATACCCTTTTACGATTATTGCTACTTTTTCGAAATAAAAGTAAAAACAAATTTATACTAATTTACTTCAAAATACAAAAGTATTTGACAGCTAAAATTAGTTACTTTAGCAAGCCTATCAATACCCTTTTACGATTATTGTTACTTTTTCGAAATAAAAATAATATCAAATTTATACTAATTTACTTCAAAATACAAAAGTATTTGACAGCTAAAATTAGTTACTTTAGCAAGCCTATCAATACCCTTTTACGATTATTGCTACTTTTTCGAAATAAAATAAATTTATTATCAAAAACCTTTTTTTTCTTAGTAAAAATAAACGAAATTTTTTACCTTATGAACTTTTGATGGAAATATGCAAATTTAAAATAATAAAGAAAGCCGCGAGCGAAGCGATCGGCTTAGTTCGAAGATTTTGATTCAAATCTTTGCTGATCTGTAATTCGCGGAAGCCGCGAGCGAATCGAGCGGCTTAGGTCTAAGATTTTGATTCAAATCTTTGCTTATATTCCTTAAATTCTTTATGAAACTCGCAACAGTTCCATAAAAAATTTTAAATTCTAAACTGTCGAAATTACCGATCGGTAATCGCACTCTTCACGGGTGTGTCACTTTTTACAGGTGTGTCACTTTTAGCTAAAATTACCCCTACTCGTCCTCATAAACGCATTTTGTAAAAAAATATAGTGCATCAGTTTCGAACTAGCGTCCCCGGTACCCAATAGTAAGGGGTAATAACCATTCGACTATTTGCCACGTAAAGCATCGCCAGATTTTTTTGTATTTAATCACTTCCAAAACACTGTTTTGGCTTATTGGAAGCATATCAGACATAATCGCCATAATCAAAAAATCTATATACCCAATAAGTAATAAATTTGTCGATATAGATTTTCCATAGGGTTGTTAAAAATATCAAAAATTAGCGTTTTGAAGACACCATGGTGTCTTATAATTTTCCCTTCCTTATTGGCGTGTAGAAATAAATGCGCCAATAGATTGAAGAAGAAGAATTGTTTTTCTCTTAATGAACTTTAATCCTTTTGATATAAGAATATTAAAAACATTAATATAATTTCGATTTCGGAAATTAAATTTCCAAATTTTTTGTCGATTTCGGAAATAACAGGATCCCGCATCCAACACGCAACAACAAAACACAAAACACACTTTTTGGTTCTTTCATCGTTTTAATCGTAATTTATGTAATAAATGATTTGGATAAATTTTACAAAAATAGAACCTATATTATATTCTTTTTAAAGATTCTTGCAAATCATCAAAAATAATTGTATTTTAAAAAACGATCAAATTATCCTTTCATTATTTTAAACTTAAATTAGTTTTTATGATTGACTAAAGCAATCATATTTATTCATCATTAAATAAACAAAAAAATAATATTTGAGAGTTATTTCAAAAAAAAACACATTGAATTTATTAATTTGTCTCAATTTCAGTATTATAAATTTTTAGAATTTCAATTTTTTGAAATACACTTTTTAATATTTCAATATTTATTATATTTCAATGTATTAAGTGGTCTCAAATTGAGCTTCTCAAATATAAGTTGGCCTATTCAAATAATAAAATTAAATAATATTTAAAATAATAAATAAAAGTGATTGAGGTCATAGCAAAACGGCTGTTTCAGTCATTAATTCTTAATAATAAAAAGGGTAAAAACTAAATAAAATGGGTAAAATTCAATAGTGTCTGTGCTATCGTTCAATTTGAAGGTGTCTTTTGAAACCGCAAGAGACATTGAATTTTTGAATAGTGTATTATGGTTTGACAGACACCAATGAAAAAAATAAAATGATATTTATTTTAAATATATAAGATCCTTATATAAAATATAAATATTTTATCGTTTTATTTTCTTGTTTTCGAAATGTTTTTTATTGAAAAATCAATAAAACTAACTCCAAAATAAAATTTTTGATTTAAAGACACTATGATGACACCAGGCAAATCTTCCAAGACACCTATCGTCGGGAATCTAACAACCCTAATTTTCCATAAAATTAGTTTTTAGTCTGATCTTAAAATAAATTTAATTTTTTATAAAAAAAATCACATTTAAAAGTACCTTTTTAGTAGCTCGAAATCCTGTTGGTGGATTTCGGGCGTACTTCAAAATTAGCTTTTCTTCTACATATGCAAGCTATATTTTAAATATGGAGCAAATCGGATCGGCGAAAGGAGTTTAGTTACCTTTGAATTTTCATGATCGTTCTTTGAGAGTTAAGAAATAACAGCGGGTTTAACGAATCCTAAAGTAAAGCGGAATGAATGCAGAGAGACGTTAGATTATACCAGTAATAAATCTGAATTTCGAAAATTATGAGTCTAAAGATGCTAATTGATTGGTTATATCTAAAGAACTTGCCAAGTTGTGGAGTAAGAGGATAGAATCTTTTAAAATTCAAAGATTATAATCTTATATGACGAAGTTCTGATTTTAGAAAGAGAGAACGAGTCAATTTTAAAAAGTGACAAAATTTTGCATGAGGTTAGAAAATTTTTGGGTTTTAATATAGAAAAATAGTATAACACCTTATTTGATTTACAAATAACAGATTTAAAACACATAAAATAGTTATTGTTCAAAAATTTTTGTGAGGAAGAAATTAAAAAGAAAGAGATATGATATATACAACTAACCTCTAAATGAAACAATTTGAGAGCTTTATCTCCAAATTGAATAGAATTCATGATTATATAGTCATGATTATGAAAGCACTATACATCATAAATATTAAGTTTTATTTTTTTTATGTCAGACATCCCTTTGAAATTGTTTATAATTTTATTTGGTGAGTTTCTTGTAATATTTATATTGTATATGATCTACAAATAACTTTCCATTTCAACGTTGTTTTCATTTCGAAAGTTTTTTAATCAAAAGATTAGTTTTGAATGTCAATATTTTTTACTTCATTCAATTTTTCGAAACATTAGTTATTATTGGCATTCAATGTATTTATGATCTCATTATTGGAAAAATTTTTGGCAGTATTCAATTTGAAAATAACGGTAGAGTGATCACCAAAAATCAACCGTCAAAACAGCTTCAAATTTTGAAATCAACCGTCGCCTAAATTGAAGGAGTTTTTCTGTTTTAACAAATTTAATTTTTTTCCTGGCTTTTGGAAAAAGTATACAACAATATGAGTAATTTATGGCATAACTTTGATTTATCTAGCTCTATCGAATATAAAGAAAGCCCATTCCTTGGCGTTTTTACAATGAGACCTGCTGACATTGCTGCAAGAATTAAAAGACCAAATCCACCCTTTGTTCAAAAGCCTTTATACTCCGAAAGAAATTCCGATTCATCTGATAGTAATGCTGATGAGATTCCGATCTTATCCATCGGTTTCAAACCATTACCTACCATCCCCCTTGTTTGTTAAATAGATTGTTTATTGCGTAATAAATAAATAAAGACAATAGAAGTCTACTATCGTAATCATAACTTTTTTTAATATGGAAATTTTTCCAATTTTTTTTTCCACAAATATATACCATAGAAATCGACCTTTCTAGAAGCTCACATTCAACTAATACATTCTTACGGAAGGTTTTTCAAACGTATCACTAACATATTCGTTACAATTTGCCTACTGCTCTCAATTTTTGGTTTCATTTTCCCATTAACTGCTCCATCTTATGGACTTATTAATTATTGCAGAGATATTGAAAAAGGGCTAAATATATCTTTGAGAATTATAAAAATAAAAGAATTTGGAGTTAAATTATCCTGTATTAATAAAGTGAGACGGTATCATAACCATTTCAAACTATATCATTGCTCAACGAATGAATAATAAAGATAAAATTAATATGTACGACTTTGGTAGTATTAATAAATGAATATGTTCTCTTCATATAGTTCAGCCGAATTCATCTAAGTAATTGATCCGATTTCACATACAGAGGCATAAAATACCAAAATGAATTTTTGTCACTTTTCCCCTTAAACATGAGTGAGGAAGAGGCAAAAATAATTGATCAAGAAGAGCGGCTAGAGAAAGCAATTCTAGCTGGATTGGACGCTATTTTTGCAGATGATGTTGATAAATTTATTGAAATAAATTCAAATGTTCAAATTCAAGATATTCACTTTGCTATTTCATACAAAGTTCCAGAATTTTTATCATATGGTCCTCCAATGATATGCGTTGCCGCTTACTTCCATGCCGAAAAAATCGTAGATTATTTAATTAATGTTGGAGTTAACTTAGATTTCAAAGATTCCAGAGGTATGAATGTAATACACTATGCTGCAGCTGGTGGCAGCTTATCGATTTGCAAAATGCTTGATAATGAATGTAATATGTTCAAAAGAGAGGATTCAGAAGGAAACGTACCGATGCACATCGCTGCAATGTACAATTCAGTAGATATTGTTAAGTATTCATACGCACACGGCATCATTTTAGATGCTGTAAATAATAATGGTGTTACGCCGCTAATGTTAGCAGCCAAATGCGGAAGTATAGATATATTGAAGCTTCTTAATGACAATGGAATTAACATGCACGATTCAGATTCATCAGGAAATAACGCATTGCATTATGCAGCGATGGGTAATAGCACAGAGTCACTTATCTACCTTGCAGAAGAATGTGGTGTACTTATTACTCGTACAAATCATAACAGCGAAACTCCTTTAATCATTGCTTGCGCAAGAGGTTGTTTATCTGCTGTAAAATGCTTAGTTGAGAAACTTGGCGATAAAGTTAAAGTCAGAAACAAACGTAAAGTACCAATTGTCAGCGCTTGCCAAAGTGGAAACCTTTCTTTGGTGAAATATTTGATAAGTAAAGGAGCTTCACTTAATGATTTCACTTCGCAAGGAGAAACACCAAAAGATGCTACTTCAGATTATTGTCATTATGAATTACTCAAATGGATCAAAGCAAATAAGTAATTTGTTAATTTTTTTAAAATAAATTTTTGTTTTTATTTGATTTGTATCGAAACTATACTTCATTTTTCCATTTGCCATTAATACTTTGAACATATTTAAACATGCTAGCAAATTATTTCAATATATAATAAAAAAGAATAAAATAATGTAAGTTTCATAATGCTCATTATGCTTATGATGAATGTGCAAGGTATTTAAATTATAGAAATTGATTTTCTATAAAAAATAAAATATTGCTACAAAATCTGGAATGAATTATATATGAATAAATAAGATAATGCTGAAGCATATAAAGAATGGTGAATTATTGCGTGACATTAAATCTCAAACATGAAAAAAGATAATTTTCTCATATTAAAAAGTGAAATGATAACATTGAAGTGTCACATATCAGGGAATAATCAAGCCAACAATAATTATGCATTTAAATTTAGCGAAAGACGTTGAGATCCGGATTTAGAAAAAATGGAAATTATCGGTATGATCAAATGATTTGTCAAAAACCTCGAAACGGAAATTTATATCCTGATATTTCAAACTATATAATGAAAAGAGATGAATTGATACGTAAAGCTCAAATTTAGCGGAGAGTTTTCAATTTTTATGAAATGTGATCGCACTTTGAATCTTTTATATTGAAAATAATTTCGCCATTTTTAATTATTATACTTACTATATTAATCATTATTTTCGAAATGAAATAAAGACTTCCGAAAACTCTAAATAAAATACCATAATTTTGCAAATGGTATCAATGAACATGCTATCTGGAATCTAGCTGCTAAATATTTCCTTAACTGGGAATAACATAAGAGAGTAACACAAGGATGGGTATTTGTAAACTTTTATTTGACGATAGACTTTTCTAAAATAAAATCCTCACATGTTTTTTCGATGCGCGTTTTTGTAAATCACTGAAAAAATTGAAAGGGAAAAATACTTCTTGTAAACCAATCAATATTTTCAATGAAAAAAGCTAAAAATAACCAATTTGTCATTCATGAGTATTGTTAGCTATCGCAACTCAGGCAAACCACATCCAAGAACTAACTTCTCCAAGGATGAAGATAATCAACTCTTGGAACTTGTCCAGATGTACGGTGTAGGAAATTGGAATATCATTGCTTCTAAATTAGAAAACTGTAATGTTAGGCAAGTAAGAGAAAGGTACCTCAAGTACTTATCCCCTAACATCGAGAAAGGCCCATGGACACACGAAGAAGATTTTCTTCTTACACAAAAGTACAACGAGATTGGTCCAAAATGGAAGCAGATTGCAAGATTTTTCCCAAAACGTACAGATATTTCTGTCAAGAATAGAATGAATAAGTTAATGCGTGGTGTTTTTAAGCCAACATCATACAAACATACACCAAAAGTCCAGTCTTCAGCGCCATCTACCCCAGAACAGACACTTTCATACCAAACTCCTGTTGAAGTTGAGAAAATACCAGAACCATCCAATGGTATTCCATTAGAAGTGAACAGTGTAGATCTCTTCGAAACTGAGTTAGATGACTTTTCATTTGGCTTTGAAGAATTTGTTTTGTAAAAATATACTATGAGTTTATTTAAATTATATTTAATATTTTTCGATTTCATTTTTAAAGTGCAAATTGAATATAGACACATTCACATAAATTTAATACATACAAGTTCGACTTTCCTAATTTATAATTCATTAGCAGATACAAACTAAATGGAAGATTTCAATCTCAGACTAAAATCAGGTGTTTTTATCACACGAAACCTTTATTTACCAGATTAACAGAAGTAAAGAGCATCTAATATTAGTTCTATTACTGAAAATAATTGTCCTGATGAAAATTCATAAAGTATGAATACTCATCGCCCATTAATTATTACAACGTAATGTTTGCAAGACAAATAGACGATGGTCATGTTTGATTAACCTATATTCAGAAAATTTATATGAAAAAAGAGTTAACTAAATGGTTAACAAATTTGTACGATCCATTGAATGCATAGTGTGTATACAGAGCGATACTAACAAATTCTCTTGCCTTATTTTACATTGATGGATTACCGAGGAAAAAGATTTAGACAATCAAAGGACAGAGCTTGTACCTCTTTCCAGTTTTGATTATTTGAAATTTAGTTTATTTTTTTCCAATGCCGCCATTTTCCAATTTCCATAAATTGCTCTTTTCAAAGCATTTTGAATAATAAACGGACATTTGTCAGAAAAAGAAAGTCTAGAAGGAATGGTTCTTATTCAAGTTAAAAAAAATCATTTTTATCCATTTCATATCCGCCATGATATAAAATTTTGAAAGGAAAATATTGGCTTGATGACATCTGTTGCTTTTTCCCATCATATTGATGGATATTCCGGGAAAAGCGACGATGTTCCTAACAATCCATGCTGTAGACCTTCATCTTTCGCAGATAAGATTCCAAGCGGGCTGAAAAATTGCTTCACAAGGTTTTCATTTTGGCTATATATCATGATAGCAATAATAAATGTATATATTCCATCTAAAGTTAGGATGTGGGTCATAATATTTCCAGTTATTCTTACTATTTTAACATCTTTCATGAATGATTATATTCGTTATTCTCGAACAAGGTTCTGGATATCAAAAATTAACAATAGAACTACTTTAGTCCTTCGAAATATGCAATGGATAAAAACAAAATGGTCAGATCTTCATACTGGCGATATAATAAAATTAATGAATGGCGACTATGTTCCAGCAGACATAATCCTTTTCAATACAGACAATGGGCAACAAACATCCATCGAAACTCACATAATTGATGGATCATCTCAATGGCAGCCAAAATCTCCTGTTGAATTCATCAATTTACCCTTTGAAGAATCGCTTGGCAATCAATCATTCACAATTACAGATATAACTCGATCACCAGTTACAGATCCAGAAGTTTCCAAAACATCACTGACAACCAAATATTTTTTTGCAGCAAACCTCCATTTTAATAACAAAACCTTCGACATATCAACAAAAAACTTGATAGAAAGATATTCAATCATACATCAACAGAATTTTGCCATTGGCGGAGTTATTTTTTCCGGAGAAGACTGCAACACAGTAAGAAACAACCTTCCATCATTTAGAATCACATCGATGGAAAGGATTCTGCGTAGATTTAATATATATGAAGGTGTCATAATGCTTTTATTGTCAATTTTCGGGACTTTATATACTTATTCATATTTTTTTGTCGGAGATGCAACAGAAATCAGGAAATTCTTAATAATTACATTTGTTAATTATATTTCCACACTAACACCACTTATTCCATTGGAATTATTTTCATTACTCGATTTATTAATGCTATTTAACGGAAATATCTTCCAAAGAAATATAGAAAAGATGTTTGTAAATAGTATAGATAAGTTTTCAGAGATAATAAGCTGCAATTCCTTACTCATTTCAAGATCAATGTTACTTGAGCGAAGACCAATACTCAAGAGAATATTTTTGAACAACCAACTATTTGGTGATGATATATCCTCGCGTCAGCTGTCTCATTTTATTGAATCAGAGACTTTTACAGAAGAAAATTTAAATCGACATTTTGCAGATCCTGCATTAACTGTAAATGAAGAAACAAATCTTTTCTTCGAACATATATCACTATGCCACTCAGCTTCCATCATAATCGAGAAATCAAAAATAAATTATATTTCTCGCTTTCACGATGACGAAGAACTCCTTAAATTAGCAGCCAGGAGTGGTGTTATGCTTGTTAAAAGGACACCAGAAGATAGTTCATTGCTACAAAACGATAAAATCAAGCATTACAAAACAATGAAATTAATTCATTCATGTTCTAAGCATCCAAGGATCACCATTATTGTTGATGATGGACATGAAGATGATTATCTCGTTCTTACTCGAGGAATTTACAAAGTTATGAATTTTGTCGTTGAAGATCTTCAATATTACGACAAATATTATGACCAATTTCATACTGAAGGATTCCATGTCGAAGTATGCGCCTATAAACGACTGAAAAAGAAGAAATACGATGAATTCTGCAACAAAATTATTGAATTAGGTGTTGCAGACACAGAATTTCAATTTCCTATTGTTGAAGATTATATAGAAAAGAACATGACATTCCTTGCATTATTAGGCTTTGAAGATAGAAGTCGAAAAGGCAGTTTATTGTTCTTAAGTCATGCAAAACAACATTTTGATCAAATCTGTTTTGCAACAACATCGAAAGGGATGTCATTAATAATCACAATCATTTCTCTAGGATTAATAGATGGTAATAATCCATCAATTGGCCAGATAAAAGGAAGTTCACAAGATGATGTTGATATTTCTTTGACTTATCTCTTCGAACGACAAGAATATGATTGTATTATTATTACAGGACATTCTCTTGAATATATTGTAACTTCGGAATACGCTGATCATGCTGCAGAACTATTTAAGAAAACTCCTGTTTTAATTATGCAAAGATCAAATTATTTACAAACAGCAGCTTTCTGTGAATACCAGCAAAAGATTCTTAAACAAAGAGTTCTCGCTGTCGGCCATTCTGTTTATGACTCTTGTTATATGAATGTTGCCAATTTATCAGTTGCTATTCCTGCAAATGAGATCAAACCAAACAATATAAGTTCAGATATAATTGTTACGAATTTCGAACAGTTTTCTTCATTGATTTTTGTAGGAAGTTCATGGCTGAGTGAAAGAATTGATTCATTGTTAAAGTTTTATGAATCAAAGAACATTTTATTAGCAATGATGCAATTTTGCTTTAGTATCAAAGCGAATATTAATTATAGCTATGCATTTAGTTGCAGTTTATATCCTGTAATGCTTTTATTTACTGTTTTGAGTTTATTCCCTCATTGCATTACCAAGAATTCGAAGTCTTCAGAAGAAATAATGCTTGATGTTACAAAACCTTCTCAAATTTACACCAAGAAAACAAAGTTCTTTTTTGTTTTCATGTTTTTCACTGCCTTGGCATTTTTGCTTATTGAAACAATCTTTTTCGTAATAAGAAGATGCTCAGATCCATTCACAGCTGTAGAATCTCCTTTCTTAATTATTGCTAATTCATTTGCTTTTTACACAGCATTTCTAATATCTGATTTCGAAAAATTTAATGTAGTTAATGTTCCTGGAGTTATAGGAAGCTTAATTTTCTTCTTTGTATTCATGTTGATTTATACAAATAATCCAAATGTACCTAACGTATTTGATTCCATGTTTCAGACGCGTGAAGAAGTATTTCTTGTCATCTTTTGGTTTTTTGTTCCATTAGTTTTTGGGTATGTAACAAAATACTTTTCCAAACCACGCATTTCCGAAAGGAGTCACAACAATCGAGGATTTGTTATGCCTCAAGCTAGAAATCAGCGCTTTTTATAACAGATTTTTTGTTATTATATATTTGTTTTTGTTTGTTATTATGTAAATATATTATTTATTAGTATGTGATCAAATTATTCACTAAGAATTGCGATACAGCAAACAATATATCATAGATTTTTGTTATCTTCAAAATCCAAAATTGTGGATTAGGCTATTAAAATTACTCAAGAAGTTGCTTAAAAATATGAACTCAAAGTCGTTATCTTATTCATATATTTTTTGGAGAATTTGCCAAAATAACAGATTTCATAAAAATTTGTTAGTTTTTCGGCTAATCATAGATAGGTGATATGAGTTTCAGGGAACAATTCCTTTACATGAGGAGATAACGTGCAAAATTTTTCGAGGCTCTGAAATGTCCGAAAAAACTCAATCAGCAGTGCCGCTGATTGAAATCAAGAAGGGCCGTCCGGAAACATTGATGTCAGAGAGTTCTCGAAGGACTAATGCATCAATCTCACGCGTCAGAGTCTCAAAAATGGATAATAAAAAAGCATCTTCTTTGCTGATGGAAGGCAAATCGCTAAACACAGTAGGATTTAAGAAGGGCGGCATTCAAACACAAGCAGATTTAACTCATTTCAGAAACATCGTTGTTTCAAAAGTTTTTCCAGAAAAAGCAATGAATCTTCTAAAGAACTTAGAAGAGTCGATTTCGCAAATACCAATCAATTCATACGGCCAAGCTTCTCCAGAAGAAAAATTTGAAATCTTAAATCAGCTTTGTGATGCATATAACTTTGCTTGGAATGAAGGATGCATACAGTTAAAGGAAATTAGTGACGAGCATGGCAAGCTATTTGCAAAAATCAAATTATTTTATATGTCGTTATTAGAGAAGTATCCGAAGCTTAGCGAATCATATAATGACGAGATACACAAACTACGAGATATGATCTCTTTGAAAGACGAAAATATCAAAGTCATCGAAAAAGAATTAAAAAATCATTATAATCGAGCTGAATCAGCTAAAAAGTTTATCACAGATGTTCAAAATGAAGCAACAACACAGAGAACCAAGAAGAGACAGTACAGAGAACAAGCAAATGAACGGTCAGTACAAATTGAACAACTCAAGAGCTTAGAAACCGAACTTAGACTACAGATCACCATACTAAAAGAAGAAAACGACCGTTTAAAGGTACAAAAAACCGTTCCAAACATAAAAGATACTTCGAATTACGTTGATATTGGCACGGATCCAATAGAAATACCTCCGCCAAAGATCAGAGAGTCACAGTCATCAATTTTTACAAGGTCCGGTGGCAATTTCATCTCCAGATCTTCATCAAAAAGAAAAATAACAAGAGTTGACAGTGTTGACCGCATTATGTCATTAGAAGAAATTGATTCTCATGATGACAGGAACGCGCCGTTGAGACATACAATATTCAGTTTCATTGATTATGTAAAAGAACAAGAATTTGTAGAAAGATCGTATGATGAAGGCGAATTCAAGAAGTATTATTGGGTTTTCCCTAAAATATGCTCTATTTTCATTAACGGAATCTCATTTGAAGACCCACAAAAACCATTTACAAAATTTGACCAAGTTTTAACGGCTTATCTATCGAATATGTACAAGACACAATTTCTAATTGATAGAATGACCAAAACCATGATAAGAACAGCCCATTTCATGGAAGAATCGAATTATTTATTTGTTGTTTTCAACAAATTCATTACTTATCAATATGATTTCCCATTATTCAGATTCTTTAGTGCTATTATCGAATATTCCATCATATATTCTCAGCCAGATATTGCAGATTTAGTTTCTAATGAGCAAATCACTCCGGAAGGATCCGTAATCACCATAACTACGGATGATGCAGTCAGCGTTCATCATGCTTTGTTCCCATTCTGGCAGCCATGTCAAGAATTCTTCACAGAAACGAAAACAATTGATTATTGGAAGTTTTTGGATATTTTGATCGAAGAATACATAAAAGTAAGGTTACATGTATTAGCATTTATCAAGCATGGCCTTCTTTTATCAGGTTGTCAAGATTTTAAGCATATTACGTACCAAAACTTCCAAAATTTCGTTTCTATTACATTTCCAGAAGAATGCAATGGAAATCCGAAGGCAGAATGGAAGGAATTACTCATTAGATACAAAGCTCTTGAAAATCAGGATTCTGAAACGATAGATAGCGAATGTATCATCAGTTACAGCGTTTCTAAGGATACAATGATCATTTCCATGATGAGAACGAACACACATCGCAATTTCTCAGCGATTTATTACGATTGGAACATTTCCATGCTGAAAGTTCTCAATTTCATCGTAAAACGGTTAACAGTTTATGTTCCTGCTCTTAAGAAACTCCTTCCTCAGCATGTAGAAATGCTAAATACTGCAGGAGCTGACATAAGATCGGCTTTGTTTATGGGAGACCTTTCTAGTGCTGTTGCGTATTACAGAAAAATGCTGCATGATGTTGATTCCATATTTGTTTATGATTTTACGAATCTTAATGTGACAAATAACTCATCTGATAAAGATATTGATGATTTGATCCAACATCTCAAGTTACATGAAGTTGTTGTTGGAATTATTAATAATGAAACACAATCTTGATCTTTATTTATATATTTTTTATTCGGAATAAAGTTTGTTTGTTTGTTTTTAATGATCTTTATCATTACCACAGGGAAACTTATTTATGTCTAAAATTGTATGGCTCAAAACGAACCTTACATTCAAAATAAACTATGAGGAATAAAAAATTTTTATAAAGTACTATACAAATGTGATGAACATATATTTGTGGTTAATTTTTGATCATAAATTTATCCATGTCAAATTAAAAAAATTGAGAGTTTCTGCCTTCACAATTCAGAACTTCAGATAATTTTCTTTTATTATCTTTATATTAAAATAAGTAATATTTTTTGAAGATTTTAATAGATTGAAATTAAAAAAACGTGACAATTCAATGTTTCTGTTTTTAACTTTTTTCGCACTAAGTGGTACGAAAGTTACTAATCCTCCTATTGAGATTAAGCTTACTACCATTAGTAACCCTCCAACCAGGACAATTAAATGCACAATAAACGATTTATACATCAAACTTCTTACGATTCCTTCATTAACAGTCGATCAATGCAGTTGTTTTGTTTCAAAAATGAGGTTCGCAAAATCAAACTCTATTCTCTCATACAGTTTCAAGATGGATATTAACTTCCTTGATCCAAACTCTAGAGTTGCTACTCGTAGCCTTTACAAGATTACAGCTAATAAAGAAACAAACGGTCAAATTACAATCTCATACTCATCTGTTGTTGCTTACGCGAATGTTAAATCTCAAGTTATCACAGAAACTTCTAGCACATTCCTTTGGTGGGAATTTGATAAGCAGAGGTCAATCCAGTGGCGTCCACTTAACAACGTTGAACTCGATCAAGTTAGCGATTTCCTCCAGAGGGCTGCAGCTTCACAAGAGAGCAAATTGCGTAGCAAATGAAAAGATTAATTTACTATTACTAAAGACTTTCAGTTTTTATATAAAATTTAAAAATATTAAAATATAAACTTTTTTTCACTTGTTTCACGGAAAATATGTGAACTCCTTCTCCTTGATATTTGATAGTTGCCGTTGGGTTCCTAATATTTATAATGTTTTTCAAAATTTAATAGCAAATGTTGAATATTGAAGTTACTTTCCTTATTAAGCTTTATAAAGTGTCCAACATTAATTCACATGAATATGTAGTCTAAATATCTTGGATAAATAGGATATTGATTGATATATCGTTGATATCAATCCCCATAATCATATTATGAATATATAGAGCTGATATACAAAATAATCAATTAAACGACAGCAGATTAAAGATATAAACATATTACAGATTCACTTATTTTGTTTAATTCGATGAATAAACACTATTTGTTACGTAATGATCATAGAAGAACTTAATTATTCAGCAACTATCAATGAAATGAGATCAATGATGCAATATATACAACAAATATGGCTTGTATCAAATTCATTTCATCCTAAATAATATGAAGTGTATGTACTAGTTATATAAAATTAAATGAAATCGTTTGTTATGGCAATATCACAAGTTAAAACAGAGAAAATTATGATATATGAAAAAGAATCAAACATTTTTTTTTTAAAAAAAAAACAAATTAAACAACAGATTTTGATAATAAATTATTATATTCTCTATAAATATACTTAGAACTTTGCAAGTCATCTCTCAAGAATAGCAAACTATCACTTCTTCCTTCTTTAGAAGCGACACCAAACAACTTTAATGTATCAGATTGGTCATCATAGAATGGAGATTCACCGGCATATTCATCTGTCTTTATGCCAATAATTGGTTTTACAATTCTCAAATCAAATAAACAGACAGTTGCATCGTAAGTACATAATGCAACGTATTTTCCGTTTATTGACGACCCAGTAACTGATTTCTTATCGGCAGATAAAGACATTGCCGGCGTAGATTGTCTAATATCCCAAATTTTTGAAGTTTTATCTTCGGATGTTGTCAATATTAATCCGTTAGAGATTGATATTGAGTTTGTAATATCTGTATGACCGATTAAATAACGAACTGGCTTTCCATCTGAAGATAAAACTTGAATAGTGGGAGATTGAGAGAAAGAAACAACCATTCCGTTAAAAGATGATGATTCCAAGAATCCTAGTGATGATATACCATATGATTGTGGGACATTTGGAGTAATTTGAGTTAATTTTCCTGCAGAAGTGACATAATTGATGGTTGGAGAGCTACTAAACCCACATATTGCATTATCTTTATGTGCTAACGATATTGATGCATATCCTGTAGTAGAATTTAACTTAATTTCATCTAATGAAGTGTTATTCTCAAAATCAGTAATTACTAACGAGGAAGTTGATATAGAGAAGCCATATTTCTCATTAATAATGCATTTATCAATCTGGTTTTTCACTTTTAGCTGAAAACATTTCCAATTATCTCCAGATTTAATAGATATAGCACGTTCTGGACCATCAGGCATACAATGTATATATGCACATCCACATGGACCTATATATGATGTATCAAACGCTTTAATTGTATCTGTAAAATTTCTTTTTTGCTTCCAGAGATCGCCATGAGGATCTGCTGATGGAGGTCGTGGAGAAAAATCATAGTAGTTCACTAAAACTTCCTTAGGTGATGGAAAATTTATAGTTTTGAAGATTTCTCTGTTTTCTAAAGCTCCATTTATGAATTTGGAGTGCATTAACTGGCATGTCTTATCGAATTCATTGACAATTGATAGTATTTCGTTATCATTGGCTTGTTTTGCTGCCTTACAGAGCTGATTAAGTTGAGGAATAAAACTTTCTGTGGGTAAAGCTCGATTTTGTTCTAAATTCTGTAATGGATGGCTTTGAATTTTTATTGGTTGCTGCATTGGCATCTGTAATGGTGGCTGCATCGGAGAAGTTTGTGATACAGTATACGTTTGAGCGAAATGGACGGATGTTTGGCGTGGTATACTTTGTTTTAATTGCTTCATAACATTTTTAAGTATTTGTTGTGGTATTTGCGGCTGCATTTGTTGATATTGTACGTAATATTGTTCATTTGGATCAACTTTACGGAAGTTTGATTTATTATTAGTAAACCATAGTCTTACGGCTCTTTGATTCCAGTGATTTGAGAACTGCAATAGCTGTTTAGAAACTTCAGCAGCAAATTGACTTCTTTCGTTGCTTCTTTCTGGAAAACTAAAGTACGTTTGAAGTGCATTCGATAAAAGAGCGAGTTCTGCCTCTTTGGGATAATATCGATGCTGATCTAACGATTTCTCATTCATAAATTATTTAGTCACAGATAATGTAGGGGAAAAAAATTATATCAAATTATTGAATGGAAACGATACTTTATAATCGTTGTCAGTTTTTTTATCCATGATATCAAAGTTCAACCATTTCACACAAGATTAAGCATGCTAGATGCATTGCTGGGGAAAGCCGGAGAGAAATTAGAGAATTATAAAGATTTGGGGAACATATTCACTTGGGAGATTGGTCCAACGAATGATACGAAATTTGAAATGATATCCGTGAAAATAAGAATGGTACTGACTATTGAAAATCTTAGAAATTCGTTTTCTTATTTATAAATGATGTTGTAAATTAGCTGCTAACGTTTGAAAATTGCATATACAGTCATAGAAAGCAAAAATATTAATGTAAAAACTGTTTTGGCTTTAGTTAATTTTTTATGAGTTTTATTTCATGTTTTTCATTTGGTTTTTGGAAGCAAAAGAAGACATTAGGACTTATTGATGCTTGTGCGTAATGTTAAAGTTTAAATTTCAATGTGCATTGCAGACTCTATTGAAAAAATCGAAAATTGTAAATTTTTTGAAAGAATTCCATGAAGAATAGAGATGATTCCAGATGTTACAATTGGAGAGCAAATAAACTATGGGAACAAGTATCGCTTCACATTATTCAACCAATCGGTCTTCCAACTTATCTTTTATCATGATATTCGGACGAAAGAAGAATACTTTACGCGGGAAAATGTTTGTCATTTTTCTGGAAGATTTATGTACAGCGTATTATCAGATCTTGAAATCGAATCTAACTATAAAATTAACAATAAATACGAGTTTCTTCTCCATTATCCCGAAGTTAACGGGATAAACTACAACTGGTGGCGTCAAACTCTTTCACCTACTATTCAAACCGAAAATTTGACTCAACAAAATTCGGATGATCATTTTGTTCTTGGATACGAAGTAGTTGATGTGCATTTTACTGATTTTAACTGGGGTGGACTAAGCTTAACAAAAGGCTATGTCAGCTCATATATCAATGGAAATATTAATCTTCCTAGTTGGCACTATGCTATTGGTGCATATGGATTTGAAAAAGGAATTCCAGGTCCATTTGGAAGTGATCATTATTTAAATTTCGTTGCACTTTATGCGAAAATTAATTCTTTAAATATGATAAGATGTAACACAATTAAAGCTTACCGAAATTCATTTTTAAATTCAAATGTATTTTTATATGTTTTTAATTTAATGTAAACAATTAATATTATTTCCTCGGCTAGTCTTATTTCTTATGTTACAATCATTAGACAAAGTAACAAATTCATATTGTACTAACTGAGCATGAAACAGAAACAATATGTAGAACAAACGACAAATAATCAAGAATTGAATGTATTTGAAGCAAAAATAATTTTATGAAACGTTATGAAAATGATAGTTTAATCTGAGTCATAGAATAAGTTTTGAGCCATTTTAAAATAACCTTATTTTTATAAAATTTTTAATCTGACGACTGTTTATTCAAAAAAATTAGAGCAAAATTTCAGTTCATTTCGATGACAGCAACTCCATATTCGAAGTATTACCCAGGACAAGAAGCAGTGCCCCAATTTCTAACAGAACATACAAGTTTCAGCACAGAATCACGAAACATTTATGTTCATGCCTCCACATTTGAAGGAATTAGCAATGATGGATCAGGTGGTGCTATTTTCAGTTCACTACGTATTGCAATTGTGCTGTGCAAATTTGTCAATTGCCATTCTAATATTCAAGGAGGTGCATTTGCTATTTTCCCGGGTGGCGAATTATATTGTACTCAGTGCATTGCACTTGGATGCAACACTAAAGGTGCAACACGAAATGATAGAGATGGTTTCTCAAAAGGCGAATTTTTCTATTCGAGAGTTAAAAATTATAATTCTATTAACCACGCCTCAGAAATAAGCATTTCCACATGTTCTGATGAATTCTCACATAGTTGCCAGAGACCATTGTACTTTATTAATGGAAAAGTAACTGCCAAACTTATTAATGCATCAAATTGTAGAGTAGGATGGTGTTCTTGTATGGAGATTGCATATGGCATTATTCAAGACTGCAAATATATAAAAGTAGATAGCTGTGAATCATGGCAAGTCGTTATGGAATTTGAAGTAACTGCTGGATCAATTTCATATGTAACAATTACTAAATGCAACACCTTAGATACCAAAGAATCATATAGATTAATTATATCAAGAGCTTCAAATATCATATTTGAATACATTTCGATAATTAATTGCAATTTAGCAGTAAGGCAACTTTACGCCAAATTTGACGATGCTCAACTGAACTTGAATAATTATTATATTCAAAATGATATATCTTTAGAAGGCGTAATCACACAAAATAAACTTGGATCACAAACAGAGTTTGTCACAAAATTCTTCGATGATAATGAAAGAGAAAAATTAATTAATTTTCCACCTGACAATTTCACTATTTTGATGATTTGTTTAATTGCTGTTTTAATAATAGCATTAGTTGCTGTTTCTGTACTTACACATGATAGATCAGCTCCAGAAACAAACTTTATGACAGAGCATGCCTCTGAAAACAGGAGTTTTGGTCACGAATCTAATGAACAAATTCGCAGGCGTCTTTTTTAACTAATGAATGAAGAAATGACACAAAAAGATTCTTAATTTCTTAGTGAATTTTGCAATAAAAAGAAATGATATAAAAATTATTTTGAAAAAAGTATAAAAAGGAATAACTGTTATTGCTTTTGCACACATATTTCCATCTGAACATAGATAAAATTCTCGTCTTTAGGGGTGTAACTGTTATTGTATGTAGTAAATATCAGGATTTACTCTAAGTTGTGCAGATATTATTAAATTAAAAATTCAAAAATTCGATTTTATGCTAATTTTTATTTGAAACCAATCGCTATTGGTTGTTATATAGCTGAGAAATAGATTCCTGTGTCTCAGAAAAAATTAAAATCTGTCAAAAACTTTTTTTGTAAGGAAAGAATTTGAATAATAAAATCGAGAATCCCAAATGTCACAATTGGGAATCAAATCGATTATGGGAATAAGTATAGATGCACTATCTTCAATGAAACTATCTTCCAACTTATTTTTTATCAAGACGTCAGAACAGGAGAGAATTACTTCACCCATGATAATGTTCGACCTTACACTGGCCAATATATGTACAGTATATTATCCGATCTTGAAACAGAATCTTACTATAAAATAAATGGCAAATACGAATTTCTAATCCACTATCCTGAATTAAATGGCAATAACTATAATTGGTGGCGTCAAACCCTCTCACCCACCATTCAGACCGAAAATGATACACGAATTGACGAAGATGATCACTACGTCCTTGGTTACGAAAATGTTAGTGTCCATTATCCAACAGCACGCTGGGGCGGACTCAGTTTAACTAATAGCACTTCATACTCTTATATCAATGGCAACATTAATTCCGTTAAATGGCACTATGCGATTGGCTGCTACGGAATTCTTGAGAAAGGAATTCCAGGTCCTTCTTATATTTACACAAATGTGGTTGCTTTGTATGTCAAGATTAATAATTTGTATATGATAAGATGCATATCATGCAAAGTTTACCATACAATTCCAATTTCAAATACTTATTTATATGTTTTTATCTTGATGTAAAATTATATTAGTATTAGCTTATAAAATGTATTTCTATATCTATTCTCTTTTAGGCAAATTTCAACAATGATTCTGATCAGGTTCAGAAAAAATCGAAAATTGACAAAAATTTTATGTAAGAAAAAATTCGATTGAAGAAGAGTGATTATCCCAGATGTCACAATCGGAAAACAGATTGGCTATCGGAATAAGTATAGATTCCCATTTTTCAATGATACTTATTTCCAGTTAATCTTTTATCACGATATCAGAACAGAAGAAAAATACTTCACAGAAAACAATGTTCGGCATTACATTGGTCATTACATGTACAGTATATTATCCGATCTTGAAACAGAATCTTACTATAAAACGAAAGGCAAATACGAATTTCTCCTTCATTATCCACAATTGAGTGGTAATAATTACAATTGGTGGCGCCAAAGCCTCTCTCCAACAATCCAAACTGAAAATAGAACCAAAAGAAACCCAGATGACCACTTTGTTCTTGGTTATGAAAAAGTAAGTGTTCATTACAACGGTAATAATTGGGGCGGATTAAGCCTGACTGGATCTGGCTATGGTTCATATATCAATGGTTGTATTAATGTTTGGAATTGGTATTTCGCCATTGGTTGTTATGGGAATGAAACTGGTTTCCCAGGGCCAATAGGAGGTTTGAATAATTACTTAAAATTTGTTGCTCTATATGCAAAAATACATAATCTGAATATGATCAGGTGCTTCTCATGCAACGAATTTCGAAATTCTTTTTCGATGTATAACTTCCTTTTGTATTCACTTGTAGTTGTGTAAAATCTCTATTTATAGTACCTAAATATTAACAAGGTAAATTGAATTTGTATCAGAATATTTTTTTTACCATGAATGTTCAACAGCTTAATATAAAAGATAATTACAGCCAATACCAAGGATTAATAGGCGCAATCTACATACTAAGGTACAATTGATACTCTAATAGGTGCAAAATGAATATATATCTCATATGAACGGCCATGCATATTAAGTAGATTGCTTTTCATAATAGATTATCTGAAATCTTGATCATTAAGATAATCAATCAAAGTTCTGAAAAAATCAAAAATTAACAAAAATTTTATGTAAAACTTTTCTCTAAAAGTGAGTATCCCAGATGTTACAATTGGGAAGCAAATCAATTATGGGAATAAGTATAGATTCACTCTATTCAATGAAAGCATCTTCCAACTCATCTTTTTTCATGACGTCAGAACCGAAGAAAAATATTTTACTCCAAGTAATGTACGCCAGTACTTTGGACGATACATGTATAGTTTATTATCCAATCTTGAAGCAGAATCATTGTATAAGACCAACGACAAGTATGAATTTATTCTTCAATATCCCGAATTGAACGGCAGCAATTACAATTGCTGGCGTCAAAGCCTCTCACCAACTATCCAGACAGAAGATAATATAGAAAACGAAACTGGTCGCCCTCAAGTTCTTGGCTATGAAAATTTAAGTATTCATTATACAAGTAGTAACTGGGGCGGATTAAGTCTCAGTGGCAGTAATCAAACCACTTATGTCAATGGTAATATTATCACTTCATTTTGGCATTATGCTATTGGCTGTTATGGTTATGAAAAAGGGATTCCTGGCCCTTTTGGAAACAAGAATTATTTGAAATTGGTTGCTCTATATGTTAAGATTGCTAGCTTAGATATGATAATGTGTGTATCATGTAAAGTTTATCGAAATTTATTTTTAAATCCCCACGCATTTTTGTTTGTTTTTATATTAATGTAAAATGTAACTTATTTTTATAACTTTAGGATGCTTTTCTGAAGTGTTTATTCATAAATAAGCAATTTTTACTGAAGATTTTAAAGGATTATCGGAAAATACACTCTTTTTGAGTCCTCTATATGAATATATAATATCAATTCTGGTAGACATTTGTAATGATATTCTTTCTTTCCTTATTGTTCAAATATAATGCTCCCCAAATTTCGGATAAAAAATATTCAATGAAGTTCAGAAAAAATATTTGAGAAAAAAAAATTGTTTTTATGAAAACTTTGAAGAAAGGTGAGTATCCCCGATGTTACAATCGGGAAGCAGATTAACTATGGAAATAAGTATAGATTCACTTTCTTCAATGATTCATACTTCCAACTTATCTTTTATCATGATGTGAGAACAGAAGATTATTATTTCAGCAAAAGTAATGTTACTCGTTGCTTTGGTCGATACATGTACAGTATATTATCAGATCTTGAAAAAGAATCTTACTACAAAACCAACGGCAAATACGAATTTCTACTTCATTATCCCGAAATGAATGACAACAATTACAATTGGTGGCGCCAAAGCCTCTCACCAACAATTCAGATGGAAAACAATTTACAAAACGACACGGATGGACTTCATGTTCTTGGTTACGAAAATGTAAGTGTTCATATGACTACTCGTAACTGGGGCGGATTATGTTTAACAAATAGTAATATTACTGCATTCATCAATGGAGATGTTAGTCGTACAAATTGGTATTATGCAATTGGTTCCTATGGAACTGAAAAGAATATTCCAGCATACGGAGCATATTTAAAACAGGTTGCTCTTTATGCGAAAATTCCTAGCTTGGATATGATTATATGCATATCGTGTCAAGTTTATCGGAATTTGTTCCTAAATTTTCCTGAATTTTTGTTTGTTATTATAGTATAATAAAGTGTAGCTTTTAGTATTCATATCTAGTTTTTAACTCCTAATCTTCAAACCAAAAGGGAAATTCATTGAATTATGAAGGCGAAATTCAGAGTTTCTGTTAATAAATATTGGTACTATGTATCACATCCAATAATTAAACCGAGATGTTCTATAGTTATATGTATAAATGCTAATGATTGTTTCATTAATTTGGACGAGTTTCAATAATCGACCAAGTATATCCAAACACGTAATGATCACCATGTGATGCAGTGTTAAAAGCATCAGAATTCATAGTTCACTAAATAAAATCAATCAATGAAGTTCACAAAAAATCAAAATCTGCCATTTTTTATATCAAAAAATGTTCTTTCTAATATGAGTATCCCAAATGTTACTATTGGGAAACAAATCAACTACGGGAATAAGTATAGGTTTACTTTCTTCAATGATTCATACTTCCAGCTCATCTTTTATCACGATGTCAGATCTGGAAATTATTATTTTAACAAAGTAAATGTAAAACGCTATTTCGGACAATACACATACAGCTTATTATCCGATCTTGAAGCAGAATCATTGTATAAAACAGACAACAAATACGAATTTATACTTCATTATCCAGAATTAGGTCTTGATGAGTTCAATTGGTGGCGTCAAAGCCTATCACCAACAATTCAAACAGAAGATAATTTACAAAATGAAACTGGTACTCCACTAGTTCTTGGCTATGAAAACATAAGTGTCAAATTTACTACGAACAACTGGGGTGGATTAAGTTTATCCAAAAGAGAAAATGAATCGTATATCAATGGGGACGTCAGCCCTGGATTTTGGTTTTATTCGATCGGTAATTATGGTATTGAAAAAGGAATTCCGGGACCTACTCCAACTTATTTAAAACAAGTTGCTCTTTATGTGAAAATTACTAGCTTAGACATGATCAGGTGTATTTCATGTAGATTTTGTCGAAATTTTTTCTTAAATTTCCCTGAATTTTTATGTGTTATCATAGTTTTATAAACTATAGCTTATTTAACTAACTGTTTCCTGCATTCTATGAGCTTAGATTCTTATAATATTTAATCTAATTTTTTTTGGAAATGTTCAAACATAGCCAATGGCAAAGGCAATTCCATACTCTATTAAACTGAGTGTATATTTTAAATGGAAAGGAATTGATCGTCATGTCCTTTTCCATCAAACATTTTAATGGAAAGTAATATAAAGAACAGTATTTTCCATTAATTCATCCCTGTTTGTAAGCAAATCAGGTAAAAAGTAGTGTAAGGATTAAGAGGCATCAGGTCGTAAAGTTATGAAAATAAACGGTCTCTTCTCAAAATTGAATAGTTTACTTAATGATACGAACTTTCATCCCTGCCAGCAAATCATGATTTTTTTATCAAGTCAAAATAAGTTTATTACGACAACCTTGGTTGCTATTTATGGCATTTCAATAGATGTAGAGCAAAATCAACATAAAAACTTATAATTTTATTAAATTTTGAAAAATTCTTGAACAAAAACTTCAAGCTACAATAGAATTAAAAAAAAATAATAATATATTTAATCATTTACTTTGATAATATTCTTTCTTCCCATGCATTGGCACTTGCAAGGGAGATCTCCAGCTCCGCAGTCACAAAATCCACTATTGGTTTGAATAGGATTTGGATCAATTCTATGTCCTGCGTGGCATTTGTTTTTACAAGCGTTACAAATGATCCGGCTACCGTGGCAGCAATCCAGGCATTTCCAGAATGTGCCTTGCTGGTGTCTCCTCCTTGTCTTAATAAATGTGCAGTCTATTTCGTCATCAAATGGAACTCCTTTTTCGATTAAATCATTCAACTCGGATTTCTCTGTTTGAAGGGTTTGTACGATTTTGACGAGTTGGAATGCAACTTCTGCGATTCTTTCCTGTGAGTTCATCTCGATGTAGTAGATATTTAACATTCCTAGAGTTTCTAAATCTAATTTCGAAACTGAAACTTCGTTTAAGTAATGAACAGAGAGGCGGTGGCCAATAACTGTGCGAACATAGATATTCCAGTCTTCAAATTTTGGCTTTTGATTATAAATGTCTATAATTAAAGCATCTGAAATGGACATGAGCCAATTCTCTGGTACTTGATTGATACTTTTAGCTATTGACTGCAATAAGTTGTTGTAATCAGTGAAAATAAGAGGAATTCCGATTTTTTCAATCGGAACCAAGGCTGAATTCAGTTTAATCACTTCAATAACCTCTGGCATCTCTAGTTCTTTGGCTATCTGTAAGTATTGATCGGCATGATCTAAGGAAATGTCGACATTTGAAGAAGAAATTTGTGTGAAAAAGTTTTTAATGAGCTCATCATCCCCTGTAAACTGTAGTTTGTATGATGAAAATGTTGAATCATTCGAAATTTTATTATAAATTACATTTGAAAGCATGGCTGCTCCAATTTTTTTCATTTTAAACACTTTCGAACCATTATAGATGATTTCGAACTCTTCGTTCATATCTTTGATTAAAGCTGAGCACTTGAAGATCTTGTCAGGTGTAAATTGGACCTTTTTCATTGAAAAATGAAAAGAAAAATGATTTTGAATAAGGGAAAAAAATGACTTATGAATTAGTCAAAATTATTAAAAACTGAACAATTTCATATTATCCAGCTTAGTGTGTGATAGGTGAGAGATTTCTGGTAAAAAAACTTTCAAAAAATCAACGTATCAAATACCAAACTCCGTTTATCGAATAAATGGAGTGTTTCAGTTATAAAATAACCAAGTCCATATAGAGATGTGCTAATATGTATCAAAGGAGAGTATTTTTAATAAGATTTGATCGATTTTGAAGATGAAAATCAAAAATCTGACAAAAATTTCTAATTCGTCTTCTCATGAAGAAGAGTGAGCGTTCCAAAAGTAACAATAGGAAATCAGATTAGCTATGGAAATAAGTATCGCTTCACTCTATTCAGCAATACATTATTTCAACTTATCTTTTATCAAGATGTCAAAACAGGCGAAAATTACTTTACACCAGAAAATGTTCGTCATAACATTGGAAAATACATGTATAGCTTATTATCCGATCTTGAAAAAGAAGAATTCTACAAAATTAATGGAAGATACGAGTTTTTAATTCATTATCCAGAGTTACCAGGTGAAAACTACAATTGGTGGCGTCAGACTCTTTCACCTACTATACAAACAGAAGATATTTCCAAATCTGAATCGCCTGATCATTACGTCCTTGGATACGAAAATGTTAGTGTTCATTACACTTCAGCAAGATGGGGTGGGTTATGTCTAACCAATAACAATAACAAATCCTATATTAATGGCGCAATAAATTTTTATCAATGGTTCTATGCTATTGGATGTTACGGAACTTTGGAAAAAGGAATTCCTGGTCCATTGTTAAATGAACGTATTTATTACAATCAAGTTGCTCTTTATGTAAAAATTAATAGTTTAGATATGCTCAAATGTATGTCATACCGAGTTTACCGTTGTTTGTTCATGAATTCAAATATCTTTTTCATGACCATATTATTATAAATCTTCATTTTGATATAAAATTTTATTTTATTTTTGATAATTTCGGATCTGAATGAAAAGTTATATTGATCAAACTTGTCTAATCAATTATGATAAATTACTTTTAATATACTTAATTTTTTTTAATTTAATATTCAAGTGTTTCGCCATCATTTGGAATGGAGATAACATCTTCGAGATGGTGTTCTGCGACAAATTTTCTTGTGTCGCTGCGGAAGACTGTTGAATGTGTAATTTCATCCAAGTGAGAAGCAATAATCTTTGCGTGTGGAATGTCGTTGTGAAGCTGCTCGACTTCTTCAAGGCCCATAAGAATGTATCCATATGGTGTCTTTCCGTGGCAAGCGTTGACAACGACAACATCTGGGTTGAACTTCTTAAGAGCATCTTTGACGCAATCGACATAAAGTGTGTCACCTGAACTGTAAAATGTCTTCTCTTCCTTTGGAGATTTCAAAACAAAACCAGAAGCTTTCTTCTTCAATTGAATTGCATTGAAGAATTCATCTGGACCGTGGTCGCAGTCTGTTCTTGTGATGGTGATGTCTTCGTATTTAGTTCCATTTTCTGTAAATAAGCGGACATCATTGAAGCCCCATTTTCTTATTTGTTCTGCTTCTTCTTCGTCTTGTGAAAAGACTGGGATTGATTTTGGAATCAAGTTTGCAGAATATTCTGTGAAGTGATCGAAGTGCATATGAGTAACAATCAATGCATCGACTTTGACAATCTCTTCAACTGGCATTGGTAATTCATGAATTGGAGATCTTTGATTTGGATCTGCAGCAAATGGCAATCCAGGGAAAGTATCCTTTGGTTCTAGCCATGGATCAACAAGGATTCTCTTTCCTGCAAATGTAATTATGACGCAAGCATGCCTGATCTGCTGAAATTTCATAATAATGAAATGATAAAATTATTTTATCTGAATTGATAGGACCTTTTCAATTTCGGTCAAAAAGTCAAAAAAGACTATGGAAAGATGGAATCGATGTCTTCATTGGTATTAACTTATTTGATTCGAACCATTCCAAAACTATCTTTCATTTCATTTCCTAACTGATGATCTCAAATTTTCAGAAGAAATTAAATTTTCAATATCCCTTGAAAAAATTCTGATTAATCCATTGTGAGAAAAGTCTTTATAAAAAAAATAACTAAATTCTTGATTCATTCCATTTGGAGAAGTAACACCCAAATACAAAGAATAATTCTTCAAGAAACAGTCAATTTATTCAAAAAAAAATAATCGGATAATCCTATGATAAATTAAATAGTAGGATAAATTAGATCGAGAATTCAAATTGGAAAATCATATAGTAATTGTGTAATAATGAAAAAGAAGATCAAAAAACCCTAATAAATATTAAACAATTGATTTAATTATTCGAAAATAACATATCTTAAAATATTGATTCGCTCCTATATCAATGAAAACAGAAATAGAAAAAAATCATTTTGCAAAATTGAACATTTCATTCAATGGAAGCTCATTATGTTCCATCAATTGGCACTCATTTTAGAATGCATGGATTATCAATATCATTTTATAATTCAACAATATTCGAATTGAAATAATCCGTATATTTTCAAGAATTTTGTAGAATTTGATATAAAATCGTTGGTGTATCGAGAAGTTAATTTGAGAGTATGTTTGAAAAATACCTCAAAAAATTGAAATTTGTCAAAATTTTGATGAAAATATGATAAAAACACAATGACTATTCCTGATGTTACACTTGGCAAACAGATTAACTATGGGAACAAGTATCGTTTCACACTCTTCAATGAAAGTATCTTCCAACTTATCTTTTATCATGACGTCCGAACAGAAGAAAAATACTTTACGCCGAGTAACGTCCGCCACTACATTGGACGATACATGTATAGCATATTATCAGATCTTGAAACCGAGCCCATCTACAAAGCAAATGATAAGTACGAATTTATCATTCAATATCCAGAATTAGATGGTCCCAACTACAATTGGTGGCGTCAGAGCCTATCACCAACTATTCAAACTGAAAATTTAACCATGAATAGTACTAGCGATCATTATGTCTTTGGATATGAAAATATTAGTATTAATTACGATACACATGACTGGGGTGGATTGAGTTTATGCAGTTATACCATAAAAGCATATATCGATGGTCAAATTAACACAAATCATTGGAATTTCGCGATTGGTGCTTATGGAGCTGAAAAAGGTATACCTGGACCTCTAGCAAATTATTCAAATTTTGTTGTGCTTTATGCAAAAATTAATAATCTTGACATGATCAAATGTATAACGTGTAAATTATCTAGAAATATATTCTTAAATCCTACTTTGTTTGTATATGTTTTTATTCTTATGTAAAAATTAAAATCAAAAATATTTTTTAATAATTCGAGTTGTTTTCAAATTTAAGTGCTCTATCTTATTATTATACTGTATTATTTTGTTTCTTTATTTGTTTACTAACAAATTCAATAACGATATCTAAATATCCGAAAAACAATTTCTCCTTACATAATATATTAATTAAAAGACTGTACATTCATGTATTTCTATATATGTGGTTTAAATTAAGCCTAAAATAAGTTTATATTAGTGTTCTTGATTGAATTGAAAAAATGGAAACAAAGTAATATAAATTTTGGGATATTCGTTATATTGGGTGATCATAATGATTGTGTGCAAAACAAATGACCATTTGATCATTTAACATGTCCACATAATCGCATAATTATATGATAAAATTGTAAAACATATTAAAAATAATGAATAAATAATGTAGCAGTTTGTTTAGGAAATCGAAATTGGTTCCACCTAATATTTTGGCACAAACTCCATTGTTCTCTGTTAATAACAATAGCATCAGGAATAATGTCTTTGTAGTTTTACTGATATATTGTGATATATTGTTTTCCATAACGTGAATACCAAATCAAAATATAGCAAACATTTACACTTAAATCATATTTTCCGAATAAAACTTTATCAGATAGGTATTGATTTGATTCAATATCAGTGTAAGAGCATCTAATTCCCATCAACAAGTGTTAACATGGTATAAATACGAATTATAGCAATTACACGATTGTCATAATTATAATATATATTTTAAAAATGCAATTCTTAGAATTGAAGAACAATCTTTATGAAATGAACTGATTCTTAGTGATATGGATAAGAACGACTCTTGCATTGTCAGTGTATTATCTAGAGAAATTTTTCCTTCTATTTATTTCGAATTTCATTGGTTTATCAATAATGATTAGTTAATGAGTATTAATAGTAATAAATTTGTTAGATGATGCCTGTGGTAGGGGGATGGAACTTGTATCTGAGGTGATTGAAAATTGATTTCTGTGATACTTTCTCCAATGAGAATTAGGTTTTCTCTGATAGGTAACAAAGTATGTGTGTAGAACACGATACCCTTGATTTGAGTTCTCGATGAGTTTGTGAATATTATTGTAAGCTTGCTATATTCTCTAACTTATAGGGAAACAATTCTCTCATGAGATTTTAGCTTTCACGCAATTCCTTGCGATGATGGAATTGATGTTGTTTTCGACTTAATTGCTTGAAATCGGTAATTGTAGTCTCAAGTTCGAAGAATTATCCGAAGACGCAAAGAAATTGATCAAAGAACCAGAGAAAGAAGGATTGTTTGTTTTTGTCATAGGAACAAAGATTAAATACAGCGGAATGATTTCTAAATATAACTCTGCTCTTCACGCCAAGAAAGGAAGCATTCCTTTCGAAGTTGGAAGGCTTGAAGAGTATTTTTCAGAATTAAAGACAGAATAAAGAAGAGAAAGATCAAGATTCAAAAACGAATTCGTCAAATGGCGAATTACCATATGTGGCATATCCTCCCACCTAGTGAACAATCAGATGATTGTTTGGAAAGAAATCGCTCTGAGTGATCAAAACGGCCACTGCTAGCCAAAGCAAGCTAAGACATGGCGTCACTACCCTTGTCTTGCCGACAGTCAAAAGATTTGTCTCGCAGTGACCATATTTACTGCTCACTGCTTGTCTATTGATGCCTTATTTATTAGAGTGACCCTGCCCTCTTCAAATTCGAATCCAGGCAATTATACCATGGCCTGGATTTTAGCATATGGATTGATCAATCCATTTTGATTAATTGTACATCTATGATGTATTCCTCTTACAACATTATATTCCTATCAAATATACATATTACTACCTTTAAAAACCCTATAATTCTACAAATTCCATTTCATATTCTTCTATTACTATTGCTCCTATCTATATTCACATCATATAAAGATAAATCATATATTCCAAATTCAATTAAATATATATAATAGTTTAATAATTCTTCATTTTCACACTTGGTACAATCACAAACTACCAATATATACTTAATCTACAATCTCAATCACAACTTGGCAAACTATTGGAAAGTCTATATACTAAAAATATATGTTGAATAACTCTGCATCAATTTTTACTATAATTATTTTTACTAATGATATCTTATTAATAAAAAGATTTTAATATATATAGAATTATAGATTAAACAAATATTCACATATTGAGATAAATGTATTTAAAAAAAAATAATGTAAAAAAAATCGGAAAAAAGTGTAAAATCTGACAATGAATAATGGAACATATGCTCTCGGTTTAAATACGGATCAAGATGATTTAGTAGAATATTACTCAGATAACACTTAAAGGTGTATCGGCCCTGTTGAACTAGTAGATACATATCAACAACTGAGTAATTTCGAGCATAATTTTATAAGAGATTCAATAGTTGAAAGATGTGATGCGGAATATTTTGAAAAATTTGCATATTCCAGTGTTGTGTTTATGTCTCAGGATGGTAGAGTTATTTATTTTAAATACGTAGTAAGACCTGAAACAGGTATTGATAATGCAAGTGATGGTATCGGAAAATTAATAGCTCGTATTGTTGAGCTAGAAATCCGATAAATGTAAAAATTTATCTTTTATTGCTCAAAATTCAACGTTTTTTGCTGTCAATTGGCAAACTTACACTGCTATTGAAATCATTTAGAGAATAGTTCTTCCAAGCTTTTCCAAATCTCGTAAGATCAAAAAAGAACTATTCTCTAAATGATATCAATCACTAAAATATAGACTTGAAAAAAGTGTCTACAGCATTGATATCCTGTCCATATAATTTTTGATGGCAATGCTTTCTATTGATTAAATTTGTTTTTATATGAATGTTCTGTGGTGGCCACAACTACAGCATGTAGCGCAACTTCTATCTTCGTAAATAATTTAACAAGCTCAATTCCATCATTATTCATTATGAAAATCTGACATTCAGAAAAAATCAAAATCTGACAAAAAATTTATGAAAAAGTAGATTTTGAAGAATGAGTGTCCCAGATGTTACCATTGGAAGTCAAATCAATTATGGAAGTAAGTACAGATTCACATTCTTCAGAAATACTTACTTCCAACTCATCTTTTACCACGATGTGAGAACAGAAGATTATTATTTTAGCCCAACTAATGTAACGCACTGTTTTGGTCGATACAGATACAGTTTATTATCCGATCTCGAAAAAGAATCAATATATAAATCTAGCGGCAAATACGAATTTCTTATTCATTATCCCGAATTAACCGGTAACAACTACAATTGGTGGCGTCAAAGTATTTCTCCTAATATCCAGACTGAAAAACAAAACCACACAGATGAAAATGACCATTATGTTATCGGATACGAAAACGTAAGTGTTTATTATACCCAAAATTATTGGGGTGGATTAGCCTTAAACGCATTAACTAATAAATTGTACCTCAATGGTTGTATTAATTCGCTTATGTGGTATTATGGCATTGGTGCATACGGAGTTGAAACAGGAATTCCTGGTCCATCAGGAGCAACATATTTAAAAAGAGTTGCCCTATATGCAAAGATTAATAGTTTAGACATGATTTAATGCATATCATGTGGGAATTATCAGAATTCTTTCATCAAAACAAATCTCTTTCTACTTGTTATTACAACGTTGTAAAAACAATTTACTATATAGAGAAAAATGATGTTCCGAATAAATTGAGGATTTATTTTTCAATATTTTAATATCAGGAAATTGAATTTGAAAATATTAATGAAAATATAAAGAATTCAAGTTAATTCCAATCCATTTATTCACATTGCGATTTTTATGTTGCCTAATGACGAACGAAAGCTATGAAAACTGTAAAACTGTATTTTTTAATTTGCTATTCAAATTTTTGTGAGATTTAAGGGTATAGTCCACTAAAAATTTTTAAGTTTTGACAATGAAAATAAGCTCTGTAAAAAAAAAAAAAAAAAAAAGGTAGTGGGGCCTCCAGGCACTTCGTGCCCTCTAGCCCTGAAGATGTTTAGTATAAATGAAGTTTTTATTCGGAAAATTGTTAGTCTTCTGGTGTGAATTCGGAGGACTCTTCTTCTTCCTCCATTGCTTCTGGGAAGAAGCCTTCTTCTGGGTCGAAAACATTATATAATGTGTCGCTTTTCACAAATTATATATGTTTTCATGTTTTGTCACTTTTCTGTCACTTTTCAGGGAAAAAACATTTTTATTATTATATATAAATGAATTTTACAAAACCACCGTTACCGTTCTTTGGAAATAAGAGTAAATGTAAAGATATTATATTGAGAGAACTTAAGAAACTACCGAATGGTCTAACATTTGTAGATTTGTTCGGTGGAAGTTTCTATATATCCCATTTGTGCCATACAATATTCCCAGACTCAAAGATTATATGCAATGACTTCGACAACTATATGGACCGTCTCAAACATATTCCAGACACTAACAAAATATTGAGTGAGTTAAAAGAAAAGATTCAGATAGGTAAGATGGAACGTATACCATTAGATAAGAAAATATTGTGAGAGAGGTTTTGAAAAAAGCAGAATATATAGACTGGGATAGTATATCTGCTAGACTATTATATAGTGGTTCTATAAGAGTTCATGACATTGAAACACTTATGTCAAAAGTTTTATATCTTAACTATACAAATGTTTTCAAAGAGGACATAGAAAAATATATTGAGGGTATAGAGTTTGTGAGATGTCATTGGACAGAGTTGTATGAAAAATATAAAGACAAGGAAAATGTTTTCTTTATAGTGGACCCGCCGTTCTATAACACATGGGATTTTCAATACCAAGTAGACTGGACTTTGAGAGACTCTTTAGAAACTTTAGACGTTTTACATAACCATCCATGCTTTTACTTTACATCCGATAAAAGTGGTTTAGAAAGTGTCATGAAATGGTTAGAGGACATACATGACTATGAGTTTAGATATGACAAGATAGAATATGAGAGAGGTCCTATAAACCGGAGAAAGTGTCATAACAAAGAAATTTTATTAGTAAGTAAATGTGGTTTGAAATAGGACTACTTGTTTTAGGTTTTTTCCATTGTGTCATTTATTTATTTGACGTGGCAGAAAAGTACAGAGAATATGAAGATGAACCAATGCCTGCAAATGTTCAGTATATGTACTCGTAAGAGATATTTTTATCTAATATTAAATGGACGCACAGAACTTAGCGAATGCACAGCAACCTGGACAACCAAACCCAGAGAATATTCCAAATGAAGTTAGAATACAAACTGCAATGGCAAACTATGGTCAAGTGCCAACAGATGTACAAATACAAACTGCCATGTCAAATGACGCTGCGTTAGGTTTGCCACCATGGTATGCAAATATGAGATGGAAAGAGTTCTATACAAACCCTGAAGTGGGATATAAACAACTTTATGCAGATGACGCGAACACAGGAGTTGACCCAGAATATGTTTTCTACCAGAGGAGAAACAGAATGTATGAGCTCCAGTTAAAGAATGCTATGGAACTCAACAGGAAACGTAAGAGACTAGGCGGACATTAGATTTTACATATAGTAAAATGGGTTTCTTCAGTAAGATAGGAAACTTCTTTCGAAATGTTGGAAGAGGTATATGGAATGGAATAAAAACCGTAGGAAGAGGAATTTGGAACGGAGTCAAAAATATTGGTAAAAGAGTAGGTCAGTTTGTTGTATTATACCTAAAGACCCTGAACCAGAAGAACAAGCTCCTGTTATACAACAGCCTGAACCTGCACCACAGTCTAGTTGGCAACCAAATCCAACACCTCAACCGTATTAAAAAGTTATATTTTTACCGTTCGATAGTAGTTGTATATGAAACTAAGTTCTAAGTAAAACGCATGGTATAATGGAATTATTCTTTTTCTTCCATCTGTAGTAAACCATACTTGAAAGTCTGAAATACTTCCACTTGGTGGTTCGTATAACTTTGTAGGTTTTTCGTAAAAGTCATTTGCCAAGCATAAGAAAGAGTTTTGGGCGCCAGAAAATGAAGCATGAACAATAATAGCATCTTGGTCGAAAACATTTTCATATGTTCCATTAGGGTTTTCGACTTCATAAAAGTCTGGGTGTACTGGATATGCTGCAGGCTGATTTAACATCCTCATAAATCTATACCATGGCCAAGTTGTTATATTTTGTAGAAATATAAACGTTTTCTCCAAGGTCTTCTATTCTATTGATTTTAACAGTTGCATTTTTCCTGTCATAAATAATATCGAGATGGTACTCTCCCTCGTCAATGTTATACTGGTTTGCATATTCGATATATAGATATCGTTTATTTTTTCTTGAAAAGCTTGAAGAGTTGTTTCTAAGTTTACAAGCAAACTAACTTGTAAAAGTTTTCCCTGTTCAAATTTCTCATACATACGTTTTTCTTTGTTATAGTATCGAACTTCAAAACCGACCGTAAATGGGAAACCATGTATGGCTTCTGAAATGAACTTCATTCTACGAAAGCCAATAGCTTTTGTGACAGATGGGTCTCTTAGCCATCTTAATGGGTAGTCAAAACGATAGCCTTCATGCTTTACGGTCTCTGTCTCAAACTTTTGACCGACATTAGTAAAAAGTTCATCTAATGGTTTAGTTGTAGCAACTCTTGAATTTTCTTTTTCTATTGAAAGCATATTTTATCTAGAATAAAAATGTCAAATGAAACAGCGTCTATGAGAGAAATACAACACAACCGACAACTCATTATGCAAGCTCTAAATCAGAACACAACAAACTTTTCAAACTACTCTAAGATATCTGAGTCATTGAAAGAAGGAAACTTAAAACTGACATTAAACCCAATGACAGATGAGTTTCTGTTTCAAGACAATAAGAACCATACTGTCTGTATAAATCCAACAAAAGGAACTTTAAACGAGAAACCTATAAATGAACTTCTTTTGAAAACAGATGTTGACAACAAAGCTGACAAAGAATATGTAGACGATGCAATAGCAAAAGAAGAAGAAAGAGCTAACAATGCTTATGCAACAAAAGAACATACTCATCCTGAACTAGCAGACAAAACATATGTTGACAATAAAATGTCAAGTGAAGTGACAAGAGCTGAAAACGAATATTCTAAAAAGACTCATACACATTCTATATCTGAAATAACAGACTTACAAGAAACCTTAAACAGGAAAAGTGCCGTTGGACATACACATTCTATATCTGAAATAACAGACTTACAAGAAACCTTAAACAGTAAAAGTGCCGTTGGACATATACATACCATTGCAAATATTACAAACTTACAAGAAACCTTAAACAGGAAAAGTGCCGTTGGACATATACATACCATTGCAAATATTACAAACTTACAAGAAACCTTAAACAGGAAAAGTGCCGTTGGACATACACATACCATTGCAAATATTACAAACTTACAAGAAACCTTAAACAGGAAAAGTGACGTTGGACATACACATACATCTTCTGAAATAACAGACTTAAACGTTAGCCTTGAAAATAAAGCAGATAAAACATATGTTAACGAAATATACCAAAGTTTGATAGGAACAACGAAAAATATTGAAACTATTGTTGGTGACTTTTCTATCTATGAAGAAAACAAATATTTTAGATGGGAGTTTGTACACTCCTTAAAAAATGGTATACGGTATAAACTCATTCCGAAAAATAACAATGAAATGTATGTAGGCTATATAAAGAATAATGGTACACAAGTTAAAGTTCCATTAGACAACAACTGTTACTTAAACTTATATGGAGACGAACAAAAGAAATATTTAAGAGTTTATGAAATGGCAGATATGACATTGCCTGACCCAGCTCCAGCACCATATTATTATGACTATGGAGATGACGTCAGAACACCACATGTAGATGAACAAAAGCTAACATTATATTTAGATTATTATAGATATAAAAGATATAATGCAATAGAAAAAACGAGAATAGTATACTATTATGAAGATGACAGAAATAAATATTATAGTCAAGATTTTACCTACCCTGAAACATTAAGATTATATTAGAAAAAAACTATTCTGACACAAACCAGAAGAAACCTGAAATAGTTTGCACTATATTTAAGTTCAAAAGAGACAATCCTATAATGTCTCATATGTTTATTTAATGAACCCAGTAAGTTCTATTTATACATCTATGGAAGCAAGAGGTCCTCAAGTAATGTTTGGTGTGTGCATGGGGAACAAAATAGTCGACAGGTTTTGATTGTGCAAACTCTTCAAAGGAAAAGGTGGAAGTAAAACGATTTCAGGTGAAAATTTACCTGCACACAATCACTACATAGATTTAAGTACATCTCAAAGCGAGTTGCAAAGCATAGATATTGGATTGGTCGGAATGACAAAAGGTAAAGATAATGATGTTAAAGACGACGTTAGTTTGCTATAAATTGTTACTGGAGTGACACTAACAGGGAGAAAGGAAACCATACACATTTCGTCAGAATACAAGCAAACACACGGCACAAAGATAAAGAATAACATGCCACCTTACATGACAGTTTACGCATGGTATAGAATTGCTTAGTCGTCATTTTCAACTTCTTTAGCATATTCTCAG